AATTAAAAAAAAAAAAAAGAAGAAGAAGAAGAAAGAAAGAAAATGTCCCAACAGGCTCCAGACTACTAGATCTCTAAAAATTTTAGAGATGGCCTTGAATCTCTATAGGGTTTATCTTCCACCCACGGAGTGTTTTGTCTTACCAATGGCCCCAACATACTTACCTCTCTATCTCATTCTGTTTGATTAATGCAATATCATCTATACAGTGAAACTATGTGATGTTTTGTGGAATGTCCAGAAGGTCATGTCTAAGAGTATACTGGGGCTAGTTCATACTGCCTCATGAAGCTGATTTTTAAATTTTCAAGAACGTTTGAAACCAGTTGTTAAACAGCCAATACAAAAAAAATGGTTATTTAAACTTACATTCAAATAAATTATATTTTAAGACAAAAGTAAAAAGTACTTAAACTCATCATTTCCTAGTTATTTTACCATAGTTCACTGTTATCTATGCTCTTGTGGTTATTCACATCTGTAATGTCTGTATAATAAAACTACTATATAATATACTGCATAGTAGTATGTTATTATGTGTCTCTTTTCAAACTTTTTTTTTTTTTTGAAATGTCACATTGACAGTTTAAAATTGGCCATGGTGGGAATATTTTAGACTATGAAAATCGTAAAATGCTACAAATCAAAGCTTTTTTTTTTTTTTCAACCTGGAGTAGCAACCATCAGTATCCTTGTCTCTTTGGGCCACATAGTCCAAAAAATCACAAATGTGAACTTATATCTACACTCTGTAAATGTAAATTGCCTCTGGTCCTCTTTCCTGATAGTATTTTAACAGAGCATTCATCAGATTGATGGTTGTGTAACATGGACCTGGAATTATGTTAATAAGACAAAATGACTGCAATTATTGCTCTCTTTTGCTTTAGTTTGTGGTAGCCCAGTCATCTTCCAAGATCCATCTGGTTTTTGTAGTGACTAGACTGGTGAATTAAATGGGGCATATGAAAGGGACAATTAGCCCTGAAGCCTTTAAATGTGGCATCAGGCAATCATTTATTTTTATCATAACATTGTTCTTGATTTACTGCATTTGTGGAGAAGGGAGTGCAGATTCAGGGCATCATTTGGCTTTCCCCACTTTTCTATTACTCCATACACCAAAGACCAATGTGGAGATCCTGCCAACTCCCTAGTACAGGCATCAAAATTATGTCTTAAGATAGGCCATCGGGTACATTCACTTGATCTGGACCTGGGCCAGCTGGGCCAGCTGAGCCCACAGGCCCCAGCTGTAATGGAAGAGAGGTATGGTAATGACTCAGCTGAACCATATGAGAGTGAGACTAAATGCTCTAAGTATTCTTATAGCCCTAGGGTGTTATAATTCTGTTAGTATAGTGTGGTCCACCTCAGAAGTGTTGAATGGAAAAATAAGTAGGTCAGTGGATCCTAGGCCAGGCATGGTACTACACACTTGTAATCACAGACACTCAGGAGACTAAGGCTGGAGAATTGCAAATTTGAGGCCTGCCTCAAGCAACTTAGTGAGACCTTTTCTCAAAATAAAATATGAAGGGCTGGGGATGTAGCGCAATGATAGAGCACTTGCCTAACACACACAGGCCCTGGGTTCAATCCCTAGTACTGAAAACAAACAAACAAACAAAAATGTGGGGTCCTGAGTAGGTGAATCAGAGGCTTCAGGGGGAGAGTTGGATGCTGGGAGTCACTGGAAGTAGAAAGGAGGAGATGCATTGTCCTTATTCTTACTGTCGACAGAGAGAAGCAGTGAGTGACCTTTGCACCTACCACTGTGGTGACGACTCTCGATGGCATATTTTCTATAGATATTCCCCTGCCCCCTTTACCATCATCAGCGGCTAATTAATTGTCTGTGGGCTGTGGAACCCTAGGGTCTTAACAGAATTAATGAGTTCTTTCTCTCCATGGGATGAGAGTCCTGGGATCGCTCCCTCTACCGCCACACAACATCAACCTACCTAACTCCAATATCACTAAAGCAGAAGCCAACTTCTCCTTGACTGAGAGGGGTGGTTGGTAGACCTTCTTAGCAAAGAGGTATCTCTGGCTTCTCTTGGCCTCATCTTCCCTGCAGAGATAGGGTGGGCTGTGGTTGGCGAACAGCCAACATACTTCGGTTCACACATCAGCTTGGGTGCTTATTAACTATATTGCCTAAATTTTCTTTGCCTCAATTTCTTCATATTAAAGGAAAGATAATACTAACACATAGAGTTGTGAAGGACAGAGGTATGCTGGTAAATGTTTAACAACCAGTTGGGTTGGGGGAGGCAGAGCCAATTTGTAGTGATGTCCATTTCCATAGTGTAAATACTCCTCCTGTAGCTGATTCAAGCTACCAATGGCTTAATAAGTATCTCAAAAAATTTCTGAAAATTTAATAATCAAAAGATAGCATGAGCCAGCTCTAGCACATCACATATAGAAGTGCTTCAAAAGTGCTTGCTAGTAAATATTTGCTAATATTTACTTGTTAGAACCAGAGATTCTTGTTAGAACCAGAGATCTAGTTTCCCAATGATGCCTATTCTTCTTAATTTTTAGTTGTTTTGTTTTTCAGGGATAGGGATCTTATCCAGGGTCTAATGCATGCTAGACAGGCACTTTACCACTGAGCTACATCACCAGCCCTTTAGTTATCTTCTTGATGTCCAAGTGGAGACTAAGTGCCAGCTACGAGTTTTGTCATGGTTGTTTGCTGGCAGCAAAGAGATTTTTCTTTGATTAACGGTAAGTAAAATGGTTTTTGTTCTCCTGTGAGCTATCAGTTTCCACAACAGTGAGGCATCATATTTGGAGTTAGAGGGATTTTTATAAGACACATTTAATCAACCTGACAGATTCATCCCTCCAGCTCTGGAAGGGAACAGGTCATGGTCAACCACAGCTCCCTAGTGGGCTCCTTCCCTCTGGGCTTTTCTGAACGCCCAAGACTGGAAAAAAGTCTCTAGAATCTTATCCTGGCACTTATTGACTAGGTGACTTTAGAAAGTTGTTATCTTTTCTGAAACTGTTTACTCTGGTAAAACTGGAATAATATCTTCTTTGCAGATTGCTATGAGAACCAAAGGTTCAGGGAGCTGCTTAGTACCACACTTGGCCCATAGGAAGCACTTAACATACAGTAGCCACCAATAGCAGTGGCAGGTAATGACTATGGAACTATCGTAGACCCCTTTAGGGAGGATCCCTAACCCGGATCTTCTCACAATCCTGGTACTATGGTCTCAAGAAACAAATAAAAGCACAAACCAATAAATGAATGTATATGAAGAAGAATTATTATAAGAAAAGTAGTAAATGAAAGAGTTTAAAAGAGAAAAAAGTACAGAGTCCCTAAAACGGATATAATCTAAACTGGGTGCATTGGCAGATGCCTGTAATCCCAACTACTCCAGAGACTGGCAGGAGCATCACAAGTTTGAGGCCAGCCTCAACAACTAAGCAAGACCCTGTCTCAAGATTAAAAGAACTGAGAAGGTAGCTCAGTGGTAAAGCACTGCTGGGTTCAATCCCCAGTACTCCTTCCCACCCCCACCCCCCAAAAAACAAGATGTAACCTATGAATATCCAGAAATAAGGTAGAGAAAGAGAGTGAAGTAAATGAATAACCAATTTAAAGAGAATAACCAATTTAAAAATGCAGAAAACTGATTAGGATAATAGTTGACCAATGAATAAGAAATAGTTGGCTATTGTTTAAGTTGCATACAAAGAATTATATATTTCAAAGAAAACAAATGAGGGGTGGCTGCTGACAGGCATGGAGTTTCTTTTGGGGTGATGTGAAATGTTCTGGAGGTAGGTGGTGTTTAATTACATAACTGGTGAATATACTTGAAAACTCTTAAGTTTGGTATGTAAACTCTATCTCAAATAAAAGAAAGAGAGGAAGAGAGAGAATTAAAAATTCAAAGCCAGGCACAGTGGTGCACACCTGGAGTCCCAGCACTTGGGAGGCTGAGGCAGGAGGATGACTTGAGCCCAGGATTTCAAGCCCAACCTGGACAACGTAGCAAGACCCTGTCTCAGCAAACAAAGGAACACATTCAAAAGGTAGTTCTGTGCTGGAAGTGGAAAATTAAGAAGTCAGGGAGGAGTACATAAGAGCTTCAAAGACTCTGAAATGTTTGTTCAGTTCCTTAACCTGGGTGGTGGGCATCACACAGATTGACTTCGTTATTTTTAAGACCAAGCACAGTACTGCATACCAGTCATCCCAGCAATTCAGGTGACTGATCGCAAATTCACCTAAGCAATTTAGCAAGAATCTGTCTCAAAATAAGAAATTTTAAAAGGCTGGGGATGTAGCTCAGTGGGTAAAGTATCCCTGGGTTCAATTCTCAGCACAAAAAAAAAAAAAAGTTATTCTTGTTCATAATGCTATGAACTCAGTATTTTTAATATGTATGGGGCCATTCTCACCTCCCGCTGGTAAACTTCCCTTGGAACTAAGCAATTTTCCTAATCAGTCAGCTGAGTGACTTAGGTTGCTAAAGAGGCCCGGGCAACTGAATTGATCCTGCTATGAGTGTGGATCTCTTAAAATGAAAGAAAATCTCTCCCATAGATAATGCATTCTCTCTCAGATAAGCTCCCTTGCAAATGAAGTATAAAATAGAATATGAAGTTCTACAAAATTCATCCAACCAATAAGGAAATAATCAAGCTGACAGAAATAATATATATATATATAGAGAGAGAGAGAGAACATTCATTCAAAATATATTTATTTGCTATTTATTCCAACAAATAAATTAAGAACAACAGTTAGAAAAGCACTCAGAACATAGGCACCCAATAAACCTCTGCTGAAAGAATGAGTTAACGGATCCACATTTGACATCAGCCTCCTTTGCCCTCACTCAAGTCAGAAGCACCAGCACGAGGTCTCTGACCACTGTCCACCACATTCCATTCCCACTAGACGTTTGACCAGGAGTGAGCATCCAGAGTGTTTTTACAAAACAAGCTGGAACACACTAATCTGACACACTCATCCCTCTAGCTCTGAACAGGAACAGGCCATGCTCAACCAAAGCTCCCCAGTGGGATTCCTCCTTCTGGGCTTCTCTGAACACCCAGGGCTAGAAAAGATTCTCTTTGTGGTTGTCTTAACTTCCTACCTCCTCACCCTGGTGGGCAACACACTCATCATCCTGCTGTCAGTGCTGGACCCCAGGCTCCACTCTCCAATGTACTTCTTCCTCTCCAACCTCTCCTTCTTGGACCTCTGCTTCACCACAAGTTGTGTCCCCCAGATGCTGGTCAACCTCTGGGGCCCCAAGAAGACCATCAGCTTCCTGGGCTGCTTCATCCAGCTGTTCATCTTCCTGTCCCTGGGGACCACTGAATGCATCCTCCTGACAGTGATGGCCTTTGATCGCTATGTGGCTGTCTGCCAGCCCCTCCACTACGCCACCATCATCCACCCCCGCCTGTGCCTGCAGCTGGCAGCTGTTGCCTGGATCATCGGATTGGTGGAGTCAGTAATCCAGACACCAGCCACCCTCCACCTACCCTTCTGTCCCCACCATCAGGTGGATGATTTTGTGTGTGAGGTCCCAGCTTTAATTCGGCTCTCCTGTGGGGACACCACCTACAATGAGATCCAGATGGCTGTAGCCAGTGTCTTCATTTTGGTTGTGCCACTCAGCCTCATCCTTATCTCTTATGGTGCCATTACCCGGGCAGTGTTGAGGATTAACTCTGCAAGGGGCAGGAGGAAAGCTTTTGGGACCTGCTCCTCCCACCTCATTGTGGTTACCCTCTTCTACAGCTCAGTCATTGCTGTCTACCTCCAGCCCAAAAATCCCTATGCCCAAAAGAGGGGCAAGTTCTTTGGCCTCTTCTATGCAGTGGGTACTCCTTCACTTAACCCACTCATATACACTCTGAGGAACAAGGAGGTAAAGAGGGCATTCAGGAGGTTGCTGGGGAAGGAAGTGGAGCCCAGACAAAACTGAGTGCTGATCAATCTGCTTTAAAACTGAAAGAAAAGGGGCTGGGGATGTAGCTCAAGTGGTAGCGCGCTCGCCTGGCATGTGTGCAGCCCAGGTTCAATCCTCCGTACCACATACAAACAAAGATGTTGTGTCCGCCGAAAACAAAAATAAATAAGTATAAATATTTTTTTAAAAATTGAAAGAAAAGGGGCTGGGGATATAGCTCAGTTGGTAGAGTGCTTGCATGCACAAGGCCCTGGATTCAATCCCCAGCACCACAAAAAAGCTGGGGGGTTGGGGTTGTGGCTCAGCGGTAGAGCACTTGACTAGCATGTGTAAGGCACTGGGTTCTAGTCTCAGAACTGTATATAAATAAAGGAATAAAAGTCCATCAACATCTTTAAATAATTAAAATTTGACATGATTTCATCAGGAAGATTGAGTTTTGCAGCCCTCTGTCTTCTTCACACCCATCTTTTCACAGCAATAGATGATTTTTTTTGTGTGTGTGTGTGTGTGTGTATGTGCATACACACTCATACAAGAGAAAGAATACAAATAGGGAGATAAGTATCTATATAAAACATTTATCATGAATCAAATTTAATATTTTCTTTTTCTCTATTTTATTTTCAATGATTTGCTCTCACAATCATGTTCCTAATGTTATCATTTCCATTTCTAATTCCCCTCCCTTGTCATATTATCACTATTTCTCCATCTCTAGTTCCTACCCTATTTTCTTTGCTTCTCTTTTTTTCCACTTACTTATATATGTCTGGTTTATATTCTTATTCTGATTTGTCCTCCAAATATTAGTAAGAGAGATGGGCAGCTTGTAAGTTCAGAAACTCACCCAACAACACAGTATGAGAACTAAATAAATTCCAGGACCCCTGACATCCAGTCAGGCAATTCTCAAATACACAGTTGTTTTCACACCCATAATCAGATACCCTAGTATCCTTAGGCTTGAAGCCAGCACAGAGCCTTGGGAAGAAACCTTAACTTCAGTCCTGGTATTTCTTCTTTACAATGCCAACAACAAGCTCAGGGAAAAGTCTTCATGTTTAGGGAGGCAGGATAATTTGTACATTGAGGATTCTGGTGCCATCTATTGGCCAAATGTGAAATTGCATGTGCCATCCCTGGCTCATGACCTGAAACTTCATGAACATCAGCACACACTGTGCTCTGCTCAGACAGGAACTGTTTATATACCGATTATGAGATTCCAGACACTATTTAATGTAATTTCCACACATTTATGCATTTAACCCATGTAATAACAATATGAAGCAAATAATACATCCTTTTTCAGAAGCAGAAACTAAGACACAGTATTTGGAACCAGGAGAACTGACCAGATTCCACGTTCTTAGCTCTGCCTGTGGGTACAATTATTGCCCTCCCAGCCCAGGTGAGACACCTCAATTCCTCAACAAACTTAAGAGCATCATCCCAATCTAGCAACACATGTACCATGGTCACTCCGTTTTGAATCTCAGAATACGTTGTAGCTTTTTGGGTTTTGTTTGTTTTTAGTACTAGCAATGGAACCCACTTTACCAGCCCTTGTTATATTTTGAGACCGGGTTTCACAAAGTTGCTCAGGCTGACCTTGAACTTTTGATCTTCTGCCTCAGTCTCCAAAGTTGCTGGAATTACATGTGTGTGCCACCATGATCAGTTGGAATAGTTTTTCAAATGCTTCAAATCATCATCCCATGGCAACAAAAAACAAGAAAACCCTTGTAAGTATTTTTACAACTCTGTGCTCCTGCCTTCCTCTGTACTCCTGTTCTTCCACGAGATTTCAGGCTCCCATAAAGCAGAGAAAAATTTGCAGAAAATTGGCACCTGATTCTATGGATAAGTGAGTGAGCGAATGAATGAATCTTACCCTCCAGAGAATGTGTAAATAGTTGTGGAGTCCTAATCCTACAGATTCCTCCACCTAGCTTTTCCATGGAACTGATGGCAATACCAAATTCTATTTCTAAGCTGGACATGGTGATGAACACCTGTAATTCCCAAAAATCAGGAGGCTGAGGCAGAAGGATCGCCAGTTCAAGGCCAGCCTGGTCAACAGAGACCTTGTCTCAAAATAAAAAAGGGCTGAGGATGTAGATCCAAGGTAGAGTGTCCCTGGGTTCAACCCCAGTATCTCACACACACACACACACACAAAATAAGTAAACATGTACACACACACACACACACAAACACACACACTTGGGTTTTTTTTGGGGGGTGGGGGGGAGTGCTGGGGATCAAAGGGCCTCAGGCGTGCTAGGCAAGAACTCTACCATTGCACTACACTCCATCACCAGTTTTTTTAGTTTTATTTGTGTCAAGGTCTTCCTGTTGTCCAGGCTGGGCAAATTCTCCTTGAGTACATGCCAACAAAGAAAAATGAAAATTCTTGTTTCATTTCTAGTCCCTACATAAAATGGCCTTGATCCAACATTTACCCTGTTATCAGTCCAGAACAGCAGCATTAACTCTATTCTAATCCTAATCTTCATCCTAGCCATTCATGTGTTAATCTTATTTTCTCCTCAGCCTAATTATTAATCTTAAAGTAAGGTCCTCATTTTATGTTTAATAATTCTAATCTCAGCCCCATAAGCAACACTAATGTTAATTCTACTTTTCAAGGCTCTTATGTAATACTGTTTCTCAAGACCTGCTCCATCTTCTCTCACTGGCACCTAGAGACCTCTACTTTTTCCTTCTGTTTATCAGCTCCCTAAACCCAGAAGCTCAATTGTTTCTAGATGGACTCTAGGGGAAATACAACAGAGAATTAAGTGAAGCAGTTTATAGGAATCCGTTTTAATGAAACCTGCTTCATTAAATAAATGCTTTAACTCAGACATTAGGACTAACAATTCTTATTCTAAATTCATCCAGTATCCATGTGAAAAGTTATACATTTGATACTCTAGAAGAAAAAAACCCATTTAAGTTTATTTAATCACAACCCTAAACAGTAGGGACAGTCAAAGACATATCTCCAGCACAGGTAGCAGTAACACAACTGAGTTGGGAGCAGATAAAAGGTTAAAGGAATGTACAATAAAAGCATATGAAGGCTGGGGCTTTAACTGGGTTCGATCCTTAGCACCACATGAAAATTAATAAAGATACTGTGTGTTTAACTAAAAAAAAAAAAATGCATACGGTGTGAGTGCTTGGAAAGGAGGTGTGGTTGGTCAGAGAAGTCTTCATAGAAGTTTGAATCATGGTGGGTAACTAAATTAATTTGAAATATTTGCTGCTTACTGTATAGAAAGGAGTAAAGGCAGGGCTTATACATGTTACCCATTAAGATGGGGAGGTGTGGGCTGGGGATGGCTCAGTGGTAGAGTGCTTACCTAGCATTCCTGAGGCACTAGCTTTGATCCTCAGTACCAGAGAGAGATGGGGAAGTGTACAGGCCCTATACACTGGGCCCTCTGTGCTAACCCCTCCCCAAAGTTTTTTTAAATTATTTATTTACCTTAATTTGTTATATGACAGCAGAATGCAGTTCAATTCATATTACACATGTAGAGCACAATTTTTCATGTCTCTGGTTGTACACAAAGTAGATTCAAACAGTTCGTGTCTTTAAACATGTACTTAGGGTAAAAGATGACCATCTCATTCCACCAACTTTCCTACCCCGACTCCTCCCTTCCCCCACCCAATTTTTAACAAGCAATTTACCTACAGCTCTGCCTGGCTTAAGTCAACAGGATATGTTACATTCCTCAGAAAACAACCAGTTATTTGCAGGAGGAATGTAGGCCTGAAATTCCAAGAACACAAGTTACCCTAAAGGGGGAGACTTTTGTGACCTTTATGCAGACCGGATTCCAGAATTCAGGGAGATGAGAATTCCCCCAAACCATAAAACCTGTAAGAACAGGTTCCAATTAGAACCAGTTATCATGGGCCAAAGTGATCTAGAGTTGTCATGCATAGTGGAAACTTGAAAGTCTGAAGTCACCCTGCCATCAGTCAAAAGTTAGGAAGTAGACCAGAGCAGAACTCTCTGGAAACTTCCCTGAGACCCCAATAAAAATTGGAGGGCAGGAGAGGCACACCATCCCTGTCTTCTCTGTGACCCAGTCTCGCCTTTGAGAGTATCCCCTTTTCCCTTTCCCTATTCAGCAGTAAACTCATGCCTGCTACTCTGAGCGATGTCTGAAAGTTTTCTGGCATGATTGCAAGAACTGAGGTGAGAGAGGGCTGCCATGGCTGACTCAGCTTGGTGGCATGGTATCCTGTAACACAGGTGGAAGCTACTCAGTCATTTAAATAGATAAGCAGGGAAAAGATAATGAAGGGTAACTGAAAGCCACAGGGAGGCACATCTGACAGATAAGTACCTGGAAAATGGAAGCTTGATATGTTAAAACCTCACCCAGCCTTAATAAAGAAAATATTATCTCTTGTAACCAAGTATCCAGAAACTTTTTTATCACCAATACTAAGTCACAAACCCCAACCTCCCCATAGCCAAAACATCAACCCTCACAAAGAAAGCTTGATGGGAGTTATTCAAAAGATAAAAAACTGATTAAGGACACTGAGTCAAAAAGAGGGGAACTTGATAACAACCCCATTAAGAGGACAGGAAATTGAGACAAAAACAGGGGACTCAATTTCCTTAAAAATTCCAACTCTGAGCATAATACCTCTCTCTTAGAGGTAGTCCATGCAGTTCACATACTGTCAAAAAAAAAAAAGTCTAAAAGTGGACTTGGGCAGGGCTCTGTAAACTTCCCCAGCTCCCAATAAAATCAAAGGGCAGGATTCCTTCTAACAAGACTCATGCCTGTAACTCTGAGCAACGGGCCTGAAATCTTTCCAGCCTAATCACAGGAATCTGGGGTTGAGAAGCCGTTGCACTACTTGTTTCAAGAAAGCCCCAGCTATTTAGGAGGCTGAGGCAAGAGGATCCCAAGTTCAAAGCCAGCCTGGGCAACTTGGTGAAACCCTATCTCAATAAATTAAGGAGGACTGGGGATGTGGCTCAGTGATAGAAGGATCTGGACTCCATCCCAACACTGCAAACTAAGTGGGGGAGGGTAAGTATAAGGAGTTATGCCAGGGAGACAAAAGATTAAGTAGGAAAGTATTTTAGAAATGTACAGAAGTTACTCGATTGGATTCAACTAAAAAAGCGGGGGATGGATCCCCTCAAATGTTTCAAGCCTGCAGGATTTAGGATGCCAGAAAGCATGTACTTAACTATCCACCTAATATAATACTTGTGTTTAAAAAAGGAACTTTTTTCCAGAACCTTGGGGTTTTAGCTGAGGTTCAAGTCAGGTCACTAGCCCACTGACAGGGTCCAGCTCCTGTAGTATCCCGCAAGGACCCAGCATGAAAGCAGCCTTCCCAATTTCTTCAATGCAGAATATCACACCCCTCCCCACCTAGAAGAGTACCAGAATAGCTGCTTCAAAATATGCCTCTTTAGCATATGGATTGAGCTAAAGGTCAGGAGAACCAAAGGGCCAGAGAGAATGCTCTCAAAACAGGGAAGAGATTTTTCCTTTGGTAAAGGAAATTTACATTTGTAAAGGTATAATTTTATCTATGGAGAAAGCACTAGCTCAAATCTGCATAACAAGCTTCACTAACAGAGCTTTCTACCCAGAAGCCCCAACCCCCTTCTGCTTTGCATAGCCTAAGACAGTATAAAGCCCAGATTGTTACCACCACTTTGGTACTAGTGGTAGTCCCATGTTACCCAGCTTGTACTGCCTAGGTGACCTGGCTGAATTTTACCCCACCCTAATATTTGAGGACAAGATGTCTGAAGGCCAGAAGTCCCTCTTCAGGTAGGCTATCAGACAACATGCTAGGGAGAGCATCAAATGATCTCTAACTTCATTATAACCTCATCTGCTTGCTAAATGACAACCCTCCCCCCAGCACCATGACAACTGATAACTGTGCTTGAATTCTCAGAAAATCTCCACCCATCCCCAGAAGATGTCACCTCCTTCTCCTTCATTTCTTTTGCCCTATATCTATAATCTCCCAACCCCCAACAGGTAAGAAGTTGCTTTGCAAGTTCATCTCCCACTTTTCCTATTCCTGGCCAATAATCAAGTCTCCTCCACTGCTCAATTGGAGCTTAGGCTTTATATTGGTTCAATAATTCTAAGAGGTAAAAAGGATCCAGCCTTTGGGGTCAAAAATTGGTAATACCACAGAGTGTAGTGGTACATGTCTATAATCCCAATGGAAGATCATAAGAACAGCATCAGCAATTAGTGAGCCCCTGAGCAACACAGGGAGACCGTATTTCAAAATTTAAAATTTTTTTAAAGAGCTGGTAACATAGCTCAGTGGTAAAGTGTCCTAGGATTCAATCTTTAGTACCAAAAAAAGAAAAAAAAAAATGGTAATGCCATTTGGACACAAAAAAAGCATGTTAGTAAACTTCTATTTTGGATTTTGGCACTAGGAATTGAACCCAGGTGTATTCTAGCACTGAGCCACATCCCCAACCCTTTTTGAGACAGGGTCTTGCTAAGTTGCTTAGGGCCTCACTAAGTTGCTGAGGCTGTTTTCGAATTTGTGATCCTCCTTCCTTAGCCTTCAGAGTTGCACCACCATGCCCAGCTTTCTCTTGTTAATGTCTTTTACCAATCTAATTTACAGGGTCTCAGCTGGGGACCTAAGATGGGTAGATAGGCATAGGAAAAAGATTTTTTCCCTCTCCAATACCCTTTGACACACACACCTCAAGATGCACATGCATGATGCATAAATGTTCCTCATGTTGCTGTACCCACAGTCCCTAGAAGTGTCCCCATATAGGCTTTCACCTGTGTTCCACCGCAGTTGCCAGGATGCTAGGTATCATCTGCCATGAATCATTACTGTGGTTCCATAATTCTAAGAGGTAAAAAGGATCCAGCCTTTGCGGTCAAAAATTGGTAATATCAGAATGTGGTGGTACATGTCTTGCTCCAAGGAGCATATAAGTGGATTCCATATTGTTTAAGTATTTTGAATATCACCTATTAGAAGTCCAGCTATCATGTGATATGAAGCCCATGTTGACTGCCCTTAAGTTAATGGACCATGAAAAAGCAAAAAAAAAAAACAACAAAAAACAGAATTCTCTGCTCAAAAATCCCAAGAAGAAAAAACAGTTTGGCTGTCTAGGATGGCCTAAAACTAATAAGGACCATGGGAGGATCCATAGTTGACAGGGCCATCTTCAACACTGTAGACAGAAAGGCCAGGTATGTGACAACAGCTGGCCCTGAAATTTCCACAAGGAATAGGGGGCCTCATAAAAGACTGAATGCCAGCAAATAAACAGACCGGGGTGGTCAACTTCGGAGGAGACAAGTAGTGGAATGAGCCGTAAAGAACACTGGCTTTGGAGTAAGCAGGTTAGACCCATGGATTATTTTCTTAAAGGAGGCTGCAACAATATATTTATCCCACTCCATGTGTGGTGTTTATGGTGTGATAAATTCTGTATTTCCACCCCGTGAATCTGACACAGGCTTATAACTATGCAGACCAATAGGGCAGAAGCCCTGCTAGTCATTTCCAAAGCTTCAACAGGAAAAAAGATAATACATACTCTCTCATTCTCTTTTCTGTATCTCTCTCGCTGACACTCACCTTTAGAATTCAGTCACCACATCATGAAGAATCCCCAGGCCACACAGAAAGCCACGTGTAAAGGTTCCAGCCCACAGCCCCAGTCCAATTCTCTGCTGAGCCAAAACCCACCTTTCCACATTGAAGGAACTTTCACATGACTCCAGTTCCCAGTCTTCAAACCTTCTAGCCACTGTGGAGTAAGTAGCCTGTCTCAATTTCTGACCCAGAAATTTTTTGTTGTTTAAGTGACTTTGGGTAATAGGTTACACAGCAATTGATAATAATGCACAGTTTAAACACTGATTTTTTTTTTTTTTTCTTATTAGCTGTATGACACTGCACAGGATTCTTTCTTTCCCAGGCCACAGTCTCCTTGCCATCTATTGAGCATAACAACCCCCTCCCGCCAGGGTTGTCCTGAGCACTAGAGCTAATGACAGAGATGCCCAGTGTTCCTGGTTGGTCTCTTACACTATCTCAGTTTTTTATTTGTTCATCTTCACTGGTCATCATCCCATCTTGGGAACATGTGTCCCATGCAAACCATCTTGTTCACTTCTCTGCTTCAGTGCCTAAAAATGCACCCACCACAGCATCTTGCCCAATCAACACCTGTTGATGGATGGAAAAGACAATGAAAATCACACAAGAGCAAAGTGTTCATGAAATGCTCCCTAGTGAGGCATAGTAATGCATGCCTACGGCCCCAGGGGCTCAGGAGGCAGAGGCAGAGGCAGGAGGATCTCAAGTTAAAGCCCATCTCAATAACTTAGTGAGACCCTGTCTCAAAATAAAAATTTAAAAATAGGCTGGAGATATGGCTCTGTGGTTAAGTGCCCCTGGGTTCAATCCCCAATACAAGAAAGAAAGAAAGAAATGCTCTCTATACACAACAGGAACTAGGGCAGGGAGGCAAGAGACCAACACAGAGGAGAGCAGAGAATACCAAGTCCTGGCATGCAATCAGGAGTCTGGGATGTTTTCAAGTCAGAAAGAGACCTGATGCCAAAGGGGGAGTCCTACCCTGAAGCAGTGCAGGCGATGCAGAGCCTGCCTCAAGACAAGAATGAGGGAAGCAACTAATGCCTGAACTACAAAGCAGTGGCCTCACTGCCCAGCAACTCATCCCCTCACACCTTTTGCATCAGGCACCTCTGCCAGTTCTACTATTTGGCTTTGTTTCTGCCCTCCTGCTAGCAAAGAGTATCTGGTTCACCCTAAGCCACAGAAGAACAACTGACCCTTTATTTATAATTTACACCCCATCTAAGTGCAATGCAAGTTTGAAGTGGTAATTTGGATCTTTTAGGTTCTACCCAGGCCTGATACATAGCTCCTGCTGCTGTTTCTAAAGCCAACTGTTCATTTTCACACTGCAGGTTTCTCTACCCCATAGACTTCTTCCCCTTTCCTCGAGAATATTCCACTGTGGGAAGAAAGGAAACTCAAATTAACTCCAACTGATCTGAGGTGGATAATCACAGTGAAAGGTTTTTCAAATACTGACCTAAGATTTAAACTACCCATAAACAGGACAACGAAATGACAGGGTCCAATCACCCTTACAGCTCTTGTGCAAAAAAGTGAGATGAAAATCAATGCCCAAGTGAAAAGGAAAAGTTATCTCCAAAAGGACACAAAGACTTATAAAGTTCCAGGCAATTTTTTTTCTCCCTTGGCCATTTAAAATTTTTTTTTTTTCATTTTGATTGCAAATTCTTCCCAAGATGCTCAGACTTCCTTAAACAAAGATGTATAAGGTTGGAAGCACTCAGGCCAAATCATCCAAAACCTTTGAGCAGTCATCATTCTTTTGTTCTAACTTCCTGGGAAGGAAGAGTGCTCACATCTGTTCAGCCACCTGCTCCAGGCTCCCAATACATACCCACACTGTCAGGGAATCCATGAAACAGTAGTGACAGAGGTTAGCATTTACCCAACATATAGCATGGGCCTGAATGCATAATTAACCTAGTCCTTGCATCCACCATATGAAAAAATATATGGCTGTAGTTACTATTCTATCTTCACAAATGAGGGCATGAAGAATAAAGATAAAGGATTTTTTTTTTTTTAACATATAGTGGGATCTGATACCCTAGCAGTCTGATTCCAGAGCCCACACTTTTAACCAATAATGTCATCTTTCACTAATCTCATCCTTAATCATGTCCTACTTTGCCCTGCTAAGTCCTTAGTGGATCAATAAAACACCTCTTTCCACCCCTTTGCTTCAAAGCCTTTTCATTAACTTGGAGCTCTCTGAGCCTCCGTCCTTGGATGGGAGCCGGCTCTGTTCACAGTACAGAGGGTGAGGTGCTGAGTCACACTGTTCACTGGTTTATTGAGATTCAGGAAGATCCTTCCCGGAGAGACACCACAGTGTGAAAGGGGCGCCACCTCCCGCCCCATAGGTCCATCTGTCCATCCAACAGTCAGAGGTACCTTCCATGGTCGGAATTCTCTTCATCTATTCACTGGAAACAGTTCCCCAAACCTGCCCCCATTTTTTTTTTTTTTTTTTTTTAGCTTCCACAAAAAAATAAAAAAAAATTAAAGGGAGCAAAAAATCATCCTTGAGAGGATGATTGTGTGTGCAGATTTGAGGGTGGTGCAGGAGTGAATACCAAGGAGGGAGGGGGAAGTATGAGTGGAAACTGAACATGACAAGCAGACAGTGAGGATGGCCCTAGCAAACACGGATTGGAGGAAAGTGCATAATAATGTGCAGGGAGGTTACATATGGCTCTGCTGGAAGAATACTGTGGTCTTAAGGTGCAAAGGGAAGGTATAAGGGTATATTGAGGGTAGGTACACAGGGAAAATATAGATAAACATGAATGTGTGCAAGTAGAAAGACAAAGTTTAGCATGCTAGACAAATGGAACATCCTACCCAGACCCACTTGAGGCAAACCCATGACCACAAGAGGAGGACACATAGCTGTGACTGCAGCATGACAAAGCACATGGGTCAAGCACACGTGCACAGGAGCACCAGTGGCACAAGCAAGAGAAGAGCAGATGCATAAGAATGAGCACACATAGAGTAGAGGCAAATAGCATTCAAGCTCTGGGGGAAAAGAATGAATCCCCAAAAGAAGCAAAATTTAAAAGGAAAACATGGGAACATGTGGAAGGGCAAGTAGGATTGAGAGGAAGGGAATTATGATGGAGAAGCCCCTGCTGGGGTGGAAAGAGCACTAGTGGGGAGAGACCCCTGCTGACAGAAGCAGAGAGAGCATAGCACAAACAGGATAGGAGCTGCAGGGTTGCCGTGGTAACTGGACACAGGGCTGTCATGGAAGACAAAGATGTAGTGAGGCTGCTGAGGAGTCATGACTGAGTAGCTTCAAGTGAGGCACAAACTAAATTATAAAATAGTGATATAAAATTATATCAATGAATAAGATAAAAAGATCTATTTCCCAGAGTATTTGAAGACTCAAATAACCCCAGGACTCACAGAGGGACATGAATTTACAAGAGATGGAACTGACAGCATGTTCTTTCCAACTGAGGATAGGGGTCCCCTGCTTCCTACCCAGTCCCCCACCCTCTCCCCTCTTCCTTTCCCTCCCCTACTGGCCTGTCCTCCCTGATACCCCTTCACTTGTAAAGCAAATGGACTCGACTCCCATCACAGCTAAGACGGTCAGGGGGCTCTGGGGGTCCCCTAGGTAGGCCCCCAGAGGGATCTGGGGGTGTTGGGGGATGGCGCCGGGAGCGGAGCTGCTGCCGAGACTGGAGCTGATGGCGCAGTTCAGAGACTCGCTCCTCTTTCTGGAGGAAGAAACACAATTGGGAGAGCAGGAAAAGGGGAGGTCGTGAAGCAGGGGAAGGGAAAGTGAAGAGTGGGTGGGGGATAGAATAAATTGAAAGAAAAAAATTAAAATGTGGAATCAAAAAAAGAACATAACAGGAGCACCAACAAAAGAAAAGAGATCAGGAAAATGAGATTAAAACAAAAGGAGAAAATGGAAAAGAGAAGAGTCAGTACACAGAGGCTCTAATAAAACACATGGATATTTATGTAAACCCAGTTGGAATATCTCCCTCTTTGGCACTGAACTAACCCCTAACTGCAGCTTGGGGCACAGTGGACACTGTGGACACCTGCCCAGACCTCCTTTGCTATGGGCACATTTAACACCCAGCTGTGAGTATTGGCTGCTAATGGTTCACAGCTGCTTCCCGCTGACAGCCACCCCTTGCCTCAGAAGTGTCAAGTCAACAATGCAGCTCCCACTCCACCTGATCAGATAAACACTAGATTTTAGCTAAGACAGACTATTGCTCAATCCTGTTCCCTTCCCTTTCCTGCTCCACTCACTCATTCCCTTGCAGGGTTTCTGAGACCCTCCCTCCATAAAGCATGAACACTTGAACCTACATATCAGGCTCTACTTCAGACAACCAGACCTAAGTTAAAGTCCTTCTGGACCCTGGCCATCATCCACATACCTCAGCAATGATCTTTTCCAGTTCACGGTTTTCCTTCTCCAATAAGCGGGACTTCTCCTCCTCATTGTTGTTGGTAGATGACCCTGTCTTCATGGTGTCCTGTGCCTCAGACTGCCATTCCCCTCGGGTGATAAGCCTGCGCATCTGAGGGCAAATGTTTGGGCATGGGATGGCGGAGCAGGGGCTGTGTCAGTGATCAGAGGGTGGTGGGTAGGAGTAGGAAGGAATGAACAAAAGAGGAACAAGCTAGACCCAATACAAGGGAAGGAGTGGGAGGAGGGTGCAGGGAAGGGCAGGGAACAGAGTCCTGGGAAGAAAGGATATAAGGGGCATGGGACTAGAGAGGGAGGAGAAGAGTCAGAAAATCACCTTGGGCACAAAGAGCACAACCAGAGTAATATAGGAAGAGAACACGATGGCAAGAGAAGCGAAGGCAAAGGCTGCATCCTGTTGGCTGGACAGAATCATGGTGACGGGGGCAGTGATGAGGCACAGGACCTGAGGATCAGAACATATTTAAAGAGACTCAGATCTGCAGGCTCAGATGTGATCTACTAGAGTCTTCTTCCCTCAGGAAGGATCCTATGAGGATGAGATCCTGGTGAATTTTCCATAAATCCAGAATCATTCTCAACTCTAGATTAACAAAAATGCCAAAGCACAGTGGTGCATGCCTGTAATCCTAGCAACTCCAGAGACTGAGGCAGGAGAATTACATGTTTAAGGCCAGTCTCAGCAACTCAGCAAGACACTGTCTCAAAATTTAAAAAAATAAAGAAAAAGGGTTGGGGATGTGGCTCCATGGTAAAAAGCACCCCTGGGTTAAATCCCCAGATCCAAAAAAGAAAATTAAAGTTAAAATTTTAAAAATGCCAAATAAACTGCGCCAAACAAGTCCTCAACTCTAGGTTAACCCCTCTCCCCAAGCAGAAACTCCCAGGATCTCTCTGCACCCATTCAGTCAGCCCCTGGGGACTCCTGGGAGGAATAGTGTACTCAGATTTCATCCCACGAAACACAGACAAGCAATTTAACATCTCTGCTTGTTTCCTCACCTATATATCTATTTCACTGGGTAGATGCAAGAAAATTAATGATATAATATCTATACTTAGCTTTGTAAATCAGACATAAGCAAACTTTTCAACACCTCCACACAGTGATACCAGAAATGGTGCCTGATTCTCCCTAGGCCACCACATCTCAGTTGCCATCCATGATCATCATACAGGATCAATGCCAGGTATCCAGGGAGCTTACCGCCACATTGTAGATGGCCATGCCAACAGCCCTGTGATCGTTGATCTTCTCAGTGGACACGCTCTTGGTTTCATAAGCCAAAAAGATTCCCAGCAGCAGCAGCAACCCCTTGTAACCATAGAAAATACCTAGGATAGCAGGAAAGGGTCACCTGGGCATCAAGGACCTTCATGCTACTCACTCAATCTTTGTCCTCTCTCTTTGCCCATCACTCACTAATGCTCCTTCTTGGAGCCTCTCAATGGAAAGGGAGATCTCCTCTCCAGTCTAGCTCCTCTGACCTAGCAAGCACTCCCTGTGATGAATGGACACATTTCACACCAGAAAATGGTGCTCATCAATATCTGTCAGTCAGGCAAAAGCCTGATTGGCCAGCAGGAAATGGGCCAGATTAGGCCATATATAACGTCTCACCCCTTTCTCTCCAGGGGGGAAGATGGCTTTCCAGGCTAAGGGCATATTTACCAAGTGTGGTTACAGATCAAAGAAATGTTAATAAGGCCAAAGGGAGCCTAAATCCATGCATGACCTCACAATCCTGGTCTTACTTGAAGAAGGTGACCAAATACAGATGGGGGTCAAGCCAGGGGATGGGGTTATCTCCACTGATAAAGAACAGAAGTTCTTCTTAATCCCTGCTTTGTATCCTAAGCTCTTCATAGCAAAGACCAACTCTCCACTATTCTCAAAAAAGATTAGCACAATAACAAAGAGAAGAACAGTAAAATTGGTTGACAAGCTCTCTGTCTCTTCTCCCAAAGACACTTTTCCTTTCAAACCTAATGTCCTTGCCCATTCCTCCTGCTTCTGCTGCAATTTGCCCTCCTCTCCTCCACATTCACACACCAAGCCATGTATTCATCTTCTTGGAGCTGCAGTGCTCCAGCTGGGGCAGAATAGAGACGTCAATGTCTTCCTTCGGTTCCTCCTTGGCAAAAGTCTAGGGGAGAAAAGGGACCACAAGGAAGATGGATGGTTGCCCTCCTCCCCTACACTCTCCATGTGTAGCTTTGTCCCTCAAGAATACACACAACCTTGGGGACACTGACAGACAGGGGCTCAGCCTCCTGACCCCAATACCTCCTCTCAAGTGGTACCTCAATGGTCCGGTGCAAGGGGTCCACGATCTGCCAGATGGCAAGAGTAAGGATATCCATGCCCACCAGCAGGCCCACTGTGGCATACAGCTTCCAGGGCTCCAGAGTCTGAGCAAACATTCAGAGAAGGCAGGTCAGGAGAAATTCTCTAAGCCCCTAGAGCCAAGGAGCAAAGGCTGGAGACTGAGAAGCAGCTCACCTTCCTCCACTCCTTCTTTTCCTCCTTCTTTGTGAAGACTGTATGGACCCACCAAATCTTGGTGAACATGGAGCCATAGCCCAGACTAAAACCCAGGCCTAGGAGCCAGAGGCGGGCCTAGAAAGGGAGAGAGGGCTCAGACAGAAGGGGGCAGGATAGGAGGTAGGGCTTTGGTGAGGATGTTCAGGGCTGTAGGAGGGAGTGTGGGCAGTGAGCAGATGACAAAGCAGGCAGGACGCAGTCACCAAGTAATGAGGTGTGTGGGGAAAAGAGCACAGGGCAGGTCTCCCTACTTCCTACCATCCCTCTCATCCATCTTATAACTTCTCCACAACCAGAGCAATTTTACTAAAATTACTTGATTATTCCCCAATGCCTACAGGTGACAGCCTAAACACCTTCAGATGTGACAAGAACCCTTCACAACATGATCCCATCCACCTGTCCAGACTCATCTCCCAGGCCCTCACCTACTGCATGCTCTAGCCACAATGACCTACTAGTGCTCTCCTATCTACTCTCTTTTATATCTTTGCTGGTCACATGACATTCTCTGTTCCTGCAATAACCTTCCTTTATTTCTCCAGCAGGGAAATCTCATGCAGGCTTCAATACACAAAGGCCACCACCTTCATGAAGCCCACCCAGCTACTCTGACTGTAAGCTGCTTCCCTTCTTTGCTCCCACAGCACATTCTGCAGATCCCAATTCCTGTACCTCTCCTACTGCACTGCAGCTAGTTATCTCCCTTTCTGGCTGCACTCTGATTCTACTGGGAACAGATAATTCCTGATGAACTGCATACATGTGAGTGCAGATGCCATGTGCATAGTACGTGATCAGTTCAGGAAAGGGAGCTGAGGAAAGCAAGAGTACGGATAGGCAGAATCAGGGGGAAGCGTGGGTGTTTCCTGCAGCATAATAGAGAACCACTCAAATATCATTGTTGAAGCCAGCCTTTTCCCACAGCCTCAGAATCTTTCATATACTTAAAGTCCCAGAGGCCCTCCTCCCTGTGTGATGGCACCCCTTCCCCCACCAGCTCTCTTAGCTGACAACTTAGACTCTGCCTTCATTTTTCTAAACCCCAACAAAGGCTCCCACAGGAAGCCCACAGTTCTGGTACTCAGCCCCCACACCACAGACGAGCCACAATTCTTCTTTGTGCAGACCCCCTTCCTTGGTCCTCAGTACCTCCCTCCTCCTGGTACTAGCAAGTGAACTGCAGAATGGAAAAGGTCTAGAGGCCCAGAGAGAAGGGACAGAGCCAGACAGAGACCAGAGGGGTGATGATAGGAGGAAGCAACAGGGACAAGAGTCAGGGAAAGATAAGAAGAAGGAAAGGCAGGGAAGTATACATGGTGGAAGGTGCTCCTGAGAGGGGTGGGAAACCACATTCTGCAAGGTATATGCCCTCCTCACCTGACAGACAAAAGGGAACTGGTTTCTTCCGATGTGGTAACCATCCAGACCAAGGGGAAAGACAGCAGCTAACGCCAGTGAGCAGCCCACGGCAGTCAGATTGTTCAGGTTGGGCTGGGAGTTCTGGATATAACTAGGGCAGAGGCGGAGAGGGTGGGAGAGGAAGAGAGCAGAATTACCCCTCTTCTCCAAGGAAGCTCAGCCCTCCAAATGTCATGCAATAGCATGACCTCAACTCCAGGGCTGTAGGACTACTAAAAGAAAGGTGGCAGTCTTGAGAGACAATGAGCTGGCTCATGGGGCTGAAGATGGAGCTGTAGAGGGCTCCCCTAGCACAGGCCCTCTCAGAAATACAATCTATTGCTCTAGAGCCCAACATTGTGTTACCTAGCCCCAGAGGGGTTTGTTTTGTTTCCTTTCTTCCAGTTGGCTGCTTTGGATCAAGGGTGGGGGTTATACCTGGATCCCCCTCTTGCAATCTCAGTAAGTCCAAATGGAACCTTCTATAACAGATGGTTTTAGGAATAATAAACTCAGGTTTTAGTGTCACTCCCTCTAAGGAGCATGATCGCTACCTTGGAGAGGCAGACAGGACAAGGATCATGGGAAAAGAGAAACTTACCGGACATGGGAGTTATAGATGTTAAAGGACAGACAGACCACAGCAAGGACAATGCCCAGGCTGGAGAGAACGGAGACGGAGATAAAGAGTTTCTGTGACAGGAAGCGGAATGTCTTGATGACCAGGGTCTGGTCAGCTGGAGGGGACCCTCCTGCATGCACAGGGAGGAAAAGGGTAAAGAGGAGATAATGGAAAGGGGTGAAGGACAAGGATGCCGGCAGAGGACTTAAGGCCCTCATACTCTGCACAGGTGTGACTGGCAGAATGAATGCTCACAGACACTGGGGCCCTTGGGGAGCAACCGAAATAAATGAGAAAGATATAGTGAATGCTGGGGCATTTCACCAAAGTTGTAGAGTCTTGTTTTGTTATGATTTGTTCTTCCTGCTTCTCTGTTTTTCTTGCAGCAAACAGCAAAGGAAAATGGGAGAGGAAAGAAGGGGCTAGCTAGCTGAGAAATAAACTTATGAGGTCTCTTATCACCAAATCAAAAGCTGCAAAAGACAATTACTCAGTGAGAAAGCTAAAAGGGCCTCAAATATCTAATGTGGCCTTCTAACCTTAGGCAAAACAAACAAAAAGAAACTAGTCTGAAATCTTAACCCTGGCAGAATGATATTCCCTAAAGTGTTTTTCAGTTATTATTAAGGGGAAGTTCAAATTTGTCAGAGTTCACCAAAAAAGCTAATTGCAATTTGCTTAATTAAAAAAAAAAAAAAAAAAAAAAAAACTAAATTAGGGCCATGCAGTTTTTGGCAGTACAGAACACTGTCCTAAATTCAAATTTTATTAAAAGAAAAAAAAAAAAAAAAAATGAACTCTAGCAGTGCTGGGAACAAGTAGGTTTTGTTGGGCAGGGCCAGGTAGCAGCTGCTACCTTCAACAGGTACTAACCCCCTTTCTTTTAGCAGTAGGTCCTTCCTTTTGCCCACCTCCAGGATCTTTCAATTTCTTATCATTTAGCCCACTAAGTACACTATCAATAATTGCTCACTTTCCCCTTTTTTAAAAGTACATTGTAGCAGATGACAATGATCTGAGGTTTTGTGTCCTCTTCTATAGTTTAAGTAATGTTTTCCTGACAGAGACAATGAGACAGCTCTAGGCTTAAAGTAGCTGGTTCAGATATATCAAGGCACCAGGACATCTGGAAACCAAATGGAGTTTCCATTTCCCACCCCCTGCCCGCCCCCTGCCTCTAATCCCCAGTTTCCCCAGCAGTGTGCTATTAAAAATAGTACTACCCACCTCCTAGTCCCTCTCCAAATACACCAATCTCCTCTCCCCTCTTGGAGGTTATATTTGCTCTCTCTTAATCCCTGCCTGTGGCCCCTTTCCCTGCCACATTTCAACCCTATGGAACCTACCACCCCACCCTCATTCAAATGCATGACCATTCTCCTCAATTATTCAGAGGGATTAAAAGAAAATATATAGGAGAGCACTTACCAATCCACTTATCTGTTTTGGACCAGGAAAGATCATCCTTGGTGCTGTCATAGTAGCCAATCTTTTTGTAGCTCCCACCTAACAAGAGGAGTGGCCATTGATAGGTAAAAAGCCATGCTGGGTATTGCCAACTTACCACACTCCTAAAGCTGCTTTTCTTGACTGCATGTGACACTATCTTTATCTAAGCAACTAAAGGACACCTGGAAGGACACAGAAGTTGCTTGAAACAATCTCACTTACAAGCAGTATAGGAGCTGGGGTTGTAGCTCAGCGGTAGAGCGCTTGCCTCACACATATGAGGCCCTGGGTTCAATCCTTAGCACCACATAAAAATAAATAAATAAATAAATAAAAATAAAAACATTGTGTCCATCTACAACTAAAAAAAAAAAAAAAAAAGCAATATAAGGTGGTAGCTGGGTGCAGTGGTGCATGCCTATAGTCCCCACAACTTAGGAGGCTGAGGCCAGCTGGGTAACTAAGCAAGGCTCTATATCAAAATATAAAATAAAATGGGTTGGGATGTAGCTCAATAGTGGAGTGCACCTGGGTATAAAACCCAGTACAGAAAAGGAAAAAAAAAAAAAAAAGTGATTCCTAAGGCACTTGAATTAACATCTTATATGTTTAAAACTCTTCATTGAGGAAGGCGCCACAGTATGTCTGCCACCTATTCCACTGCCTCACAGCTCTCTCAGCAAGATGTCTCTCACTCTGATTCTGGCTTGGAAAGCTTTAAACATATTTCCGTTTATTCTCTCATGATGGACAGAATCACAGAATCTATTTTCCCAGTGGCTTTCATTTTAATTTTAGAAATTTCTCTCCCGTTGGCTTGGGTTCTAATTCCTTGGATAAGTTACATCTGCCTCTTAAAGAGCCACTATGTGAAATTCGGTCACTCCTAAGATTTCTGTTCTAAAACTGTCCCAGTTAACATAACTTTTCTTTCGAAAGCCAATTCACATGGCTTTCACCAATGAATCCATTCCCTCTTGTCTTGGATACAAAGAAAAGCTGAGAGAATGTGGGAGTTCGGGAGGAAGGAAGAAAGAAACTTTTCACAGAAGGCCAAGAAATAGCTCTCTTGTCCATCCCATAAAAGGCTGCAAGTGAGAAGGAACTGAAAAATTAACTCACCAAAGTTCTGCAAATATTTAAGTATGCTAAGTTATAAGAAAATTCAATCCAGAAAGGTCAAACTACAGAAAATTAGGAATGTTACATAGCAAGAAAATTCAATGCATTCCCTTTAAAAAACTAGCAGGTTTCCTAGATTCAGCTTTCCTTGCATCTTTGAGGAGGCACTGACAGCTCCTACAGGCCTCAGAAGGGAAATTTTGTTTTCTTTTTTTCTTCATGTACTGAGGATTAAACCCAGGGCCTCAAGCATGCTAGGCTCTACAACTGACTTATATTCCCAGCCTTTCAAAAAAATTTTACTTTGAGACAAAGAGTCTTGCTAAGTTGCCTAGGCAGGCCTCAAACTTGCAATCCTCCTGCCTCAGCCTCCAGAATAGCTAGGATTACAGGGGTACACCACCACACCTATTAGAAGGCAAACTTCTGAGACTGAAAGAATAGAGAAACGCTGCTTTTAATTTACATGCCCTTAAAAAACACAACTCAGCAAGAAACCCAACTCTATTTAAGTCAGGATGGGGAACCAAGAATTGAACTCAGGGGTACTTGGCCATTGAGCCACATTCCCAGATCTATTTTATATTTTATTTAGAGATAGGGTCTCACTAAGTTGCTTAACGTCTTGCTTTGCTGAGGCTGGCTTTGAACTCGTGATTCTCCTGCCTCAGCCTCCTGAGCTGCTGGGATTACAGGCATGTACCACTGTGCCCAGCCCTACCTAAGCTTTTTATTAATATTATTTAAAAGCTTGATGAACACAGTTGAAAGAGAAAGGCAAGAGACGAGGCACCAGGCAATCTCGTGATGTCTTGAGTGTTCTTCCAAGTAGGGACCTGGCCCAGTCCCAGCCTCCGCCACCACCACCCTGCACCTCCACCCCCATGCTCACCCTGTAGCTGCTCGATAAGTGTCCATGCCATTCGGGAGCCACTGGCATCAAACACCACATGGCCCTGAGGGGGAGAAACATGTGGAGGAAGCAAAGGGGATAAAAGCAGGAGTGAAAAGAGAACATCAGGGACTTTCTGACTCCTTCTGTTTTTGATGTAATTGAGCTTCTGAATGAATACTATTTATGGCATTTGCCTGCATATAGGACATACCCCAGATGCCCATACCCTAGATTTTAGGAATATTATTCTTTTGAGAAGAAGCTTCACCCGTGAGATTTGAATGGGAAAAATCCCCAGACAGAACACCAGGAGACCTGGCTTCCAGCTGTGTGGCCTGAGCAAGTCACCAAATCCCATTGGGCATTTATTTTCTCACTTTAAAAGGCATAAGGAGATAAACTTTTGGGTTGTTTCTTCTTTCAAAATCCTACAGTTCTCATCTGACTCATAAATACCTGGACTTGTCTGAAAGAAATGAGAGGAAGGGTCGAAAAATATACAGTTTTATTCTTTTGTAGTCTTTTGTGGGATTTTCTGGTTTGGGGATCCCCACTCCCCTCCTCTAAGACTAACTTCTGCAGAGAAGTAACTGAGAAAGATGGGGAATGCATGCTTCTAAAGGAGCCTCTGAGGGGGTGTCTGTCGATGCGAGGACAGGGGAGCATGAAAGGGGCTGTAACTCACAGAGACACCCTCAAAGGACGAGGAGTTCATTGCCCGGTAAATTTGGTCGGTAATGGTTTGGTTGTTGTAGTTGAAGTCCTCCAGGCGCACACCCGAACGGCCACCTCCTCCAGATGTCTTGTTCAGGGCCAATGCCAAGGCCCAGATGGCATCATAGGCCAGCGGTGCTTCCTGGAAGCCACCTGTCTCTTCAGGGTGTCTTTTGAGTCGCTTGGTTAGTTTCTCCACAAACTCCTGGGATGTCTGGGGAGAGAAGAACAAGAGAAAAGGATTGGAATGTGTGTGGGTGCAGGGGGAGGGGACCATCCAATTTTGGCTCAAACACTTCGACTTGAGCGGATGGTTTGTGTTCATGTTGTCAGATGAAGCATATGTACATTCAAAATCTCTAACTATGCCCATGTGTCTGTCTTAGGTTTGAAGCAACTAGACTAGAGCAGAGATTAGCTGAGCCCAATGGTCTTAGTGTGTACAGCTGCTAGCTCAGAACTACAAACAGAGAAGTCTGATGAATAAACACTCTGGTAATGAGTGGCAAAGGAGAAAAAGTAGACATAGAGTAAAGGAAAAAACACAGATATTGCAATGAAGAGTTGTGACACTGATGTCCTCTCATCCTTCAGACTCTCAGTAGAGCTGACCCAGGATCTAACAGCTCCTCCAACACTGAAAGTTCCTAGAAAAGGCAACACCCACAGCCTTTGTCACTCTGCTTGTCAACCCGGAAGATTTCTCTTCAGTGTGTTAACTTCTTGCCATTCTAGTTGCCTTTTAGAGATTTTCCAAAAAACTGAGAACTGCAGAAATATCCTTCACACTCTGTGTGTATGTGGTGCTGAAGATCGAACCAAGGGCCTCATGCATGCTAGACACCCTCTGCCACTAAGCCACATCCCCAGTCCTGCCCTTTACACTTCTGAAGTCCATCATTCAATCCTACTCACACCACTTCTCAACACTCAATATTTTCCAAGAAAGCTGAAAAGAATGATAGTTCCTTTAACTCTTACACAACAGGTCAAGAGACCTGACTTTGCATACTTGATTTTAACCCCCTTTGGTTTAATAACCACAGATGGTTAACTTGAAACTACCTTCTGTATAATGGAGAAAATCTCATCTTCCTTTCCTCACCTCCCAAAAAGACACAAGCAAAGGCTCAGCAACGACTTGCTTGCAAGGCACAAATAATACACAGCAGCACTACACAAATGACTATTTGAATTTGGAATGTATTAACAGAAGGAAGGAAGGAATAGATGAATAAAGAATAAACAAATGTTCTCCATGACATGACCACATTTTTTTTTTTTCTATTCAACTTTCTTGAAACAGCCTGAGATTTGAAGACACACATGGGCTCAGGCTCTACTATTTCTGAGAACAGAAACCAAGTTTTATTTCTTTTTCTTAGCACCATAATGTACAAACAATAAATGTACATTAAATTAGGATAGTGAAAATAACTGTGCATGATACTATAAGGATAGAAGCATGCCATTATACATTTTTTTCAAACCCACAGAATATACACCACCAAGAACGAACACTTCTGTAAACTATGGACTTCGGATGACTACAATGTGCCAGGTTAATCAACTGTAACAAATGTACCATTCTGGTGGGGTCTGCTGCTAATGTGGGAGGCTTTGCACATGTAGATGTATACAGAAACTCTCTAAGCTCAATTTTTCCTCACACTTCAACACTGCCCACTATATGAGATTGAAACCTTAGAATCACCTTTGACCCTTCCAAATCACCAAATCCTCTTTCTTCTTTTATTGAGGTGTTTCATTAGTATCATCCCTCTCTACATAGGATGATGATGATGATGATGATGATGATGATGGCAGCAGTGGCTAACATTATAGTGTCCTTACTGTATGCCAGGCACTTTTCTAAGGCACACATATCAATGTATTTGATCCTCAAACCATTCAGTGAGGAAGATACTATTATCCCTATTGTGTGAAAAAAGAAAGTGAAACATAGAAGCTAGGTAACTTGCCTAAAGTTATACTGCCAGTAAGTAGCAGAGCTAGGACTCAAACCCAGGTAGTCTGGCACCAAAGTTTTATTTATTAATGCAATACTGGGGACTGAACCTTGGCATAAAGTGCTCTACCCATGAGCTTCACCTTCAGCTCTTTAAAATTTTTATTTTGAGACAAAGTCTCACTAAATTGCCTTGTCTGGCCTTGAACTTGCAATCCTTCTGCCTCAGCCTTCTGAATAATAAAGTCTATACTTTAACCATCTACCCATACTCCTTCTATACACTGAAATGCCTCTATCCCAGAGCACCTGCTCAAAGACAACAGCTAAACTGAGACTTTCTGAGTAGTCCTTCAGCTTCTAGGTCTATCTAATCCTCAGTTCAAAGTAAAGATTACATCAGAAAATCACCCAGATGGGAAGGGATTAATCTGCTCAGCATGATACTATCCCCTGCCCAGATCTTCAAACTCTCAGCTCACCTCTAACACTCCTGGCCAAAGGGAGCACTGGTGTCCCTATTACTAAAGCAATGAAAAAACAATCTTTCCCCTTTCAATCAGCAAAGATATGGTTATTAATTTCCAAAGAGAAATTTTACTGTGCTGCTGAGAAAAACTGAACAACAAAAGTTCCACAATTCACAGAAATTAGTGAATTAACCAAGTGCAAATTTATGATCCTCATTTTTTATAAACAGCTCTGTCTGGTTGGCTCCATGTGTGAAAATGGATGCTTGACAGTGATCTGTGTATCCTGAGGTAGGTTTTTAGTTTGTTTTGTACCCAGGTCTGATGAGATCTCCTTCCCAATCAGGATAAATTCACAATCTCATCTCCAGGTATGCCACCTCCCATCTTCCCCTCTAGATCATAGCTACATTTCTCCAAAACCATTCTAATTCATTCTCCATTTATTTATATTGTACCTAAAGATTCTTTCTCTATATCATGATTTCTCAAATCTCCACACTATTGGCAATTTAGACAGAACAGCTTTGCTGTCAGTGTTGAGCTGTGCATTTTAGAATATCTTTTTTCCAATACTGAGGAATAAACCCAGGGATACTCTACCACTGAGCTACATCCCACCCCTTTTTATTTTTTTGAGACAGGGTCCAAGTTGTGCAGGCTAACCTAAAACTTGCAAACCTCCTGCCTCAGCGTCCCAAGTAGCTGGGATTACAGGTGTGTACCACCACGCACAGCTCACATTACAGAATGTTTAGAAGCATCCTTGGTCTATACCCATTAGACACTATGAGCAGCTATCCTTCAGCGAAGCCCTCACCCCAAGTTGTATCAATCAAAAGTATCCCCAGACATTTCCAACCTCTGGTTAAAAACTACTACCCTAATAGTGGTAAAAGTGTGATTTCCAAAGAAGTAACATCAGTATTTCTGGGAACTTGTTAAAAATATAAATTCTCAGGCCCTACTCCAGATCTTCTAGGGGAAACAGCTCAGAACTTCTAGGGAAACAGCTTAGTAGTCTGTGTACTAACTACCTTTGTAGGTAGTTCTTTGGAAACTAAAGTTTGGGAAATACTGATTTAAACAAATGTGAGGCCATTCTGTGGAGTGAAAGCAACTCAGCTTCTTTATAGCTCTGTCCTGCTTGTTTCAATCCTTGCTTCTGATTCACTTCTCTTGGTGCTATTTGATTCCCTAGGCAGTTGTTAGGGCTGCTTCTATTCCTCTATTGAAAAATCTTGGCTTCTCTACTTGGTGTTTTAGCCCAGTGTCACTAGAAGCCCTATGGTCTAGAAGGCAGGCACCATCTTCCTCTAGAGTCCAGGAGCCAGAAAGAGACCTTCTAACATCCTACTCCAAAGCTCAAGTGTCCCTCTATATCTGTGAACAATTCTTGGCTTTCTGTCTGCCTGCTCTAGCTTCCTGCTATGAGACAGCAGCCATTATTGGCAGGTCCTGGGCTCAGGATACCAAACAGTCTTACCATCTTCAACAACCAGCACCACTAATTCCTCAGTTCTGGAGGATGACTCACCTTTCCAGTACTCTATAGGGAGGTGAACCTCCAGAATTTTTTCACTCTATTTTTCAAATAAGATACATTAAACACAGAGTTCCCTTTAGAAAGTCCCAGAATAGAGTCTATGATCAGAGTCCATGAGGCAGTTCACCATTCATCATAATTCACTGACACAACCAACTTCCTAAATTATTATTTCTCCCGTGCTCAAAAACTGCCATCAGCTGAACAGTGCTAGCACAAAAAAATACAAGATTTCAGTCAGGCTTCATGCTTACCCTAGAAGTGATGGAACAGAACAGTTTGGAATTAGATTCAATTAGGAGGCAGTTCCAGCAGGACAACTCAGTAGCTGCATGGAACAAGTCACTAAATTTCTCTGAGTCTTAATTTTCTGGTATATAAGATGCAAATAATAAATATACATCAGAATATTGTTTAAAATCTGATTTTAAGGGGCTGGCATTGTGCTCAGCAGTAGAGCACTCACATAGCACGTGTAAGGCCCTGGGTTCTTATCCTCAGCAGCACATAAAAATAAATAAATAAAATAAAGGTATTGTGTCCAACTACAACTAAAACATAAATATTAAAAAAAAAAATCTGATTTTAAATTCCTGGTTTACCAAATAAAATCAATTGCTACTAAAACTCCTTTAAATAAACACTTTGAGGATTTTTACCATCATTAGTTCACCCCTAGCCTTCTCTCCAAAACAGGCATTATATACCTTAGGATGTACCTGATATAATAAGTAGACATGCTGGTTACCCCATTGAGCTCACTAAGATTTCTGTGCTCTAAGATGTCGTGCTGAGCAGCAGTGAAGCTCTTCCCCCACACCCACACCCACATCCACACCCACTTGTGCTCCCACCTGCAAACCTGCCCCAGCCCTCCCAAGTCAGGCAATGTGCTTCTAGTTCCAACTCTGTCACTAACCAGTTATCTGGGACTAAATGATTTAGTCATTTTTACATCTAAAATTCTAAAAAAAGAATCATTTAAAAAAAAAAAAAAACATTAAGATCCAAGCTAATTTCATCATGAGTGAATATTAAGCAACTCTGATACTAATGTAAGTCACCAAAAAAATAAAATGCATTTCTGCCCAGGAACAGTGCTTTGGTAAAGGTGTGCTTGCATATACAAGCGTCTATATTATCATTAACGCCTCTCCCTCATTTGACTTCACACCAACTGCTCCTTGTTTCCATGGTAACAGCCCTTCTACTCATCAGGGGCCTACTGAACATACCACTCTATCATTTCTCTCCCTCCCTCTCCCTCTCTCTCTCTCTCTCCTACCCAAGAAAAGTCACAACAGAGGTAGAATCCACAGGAGACATGATGCTAACAAGCTCAGAGTGGGCACAGACCCCTTTGTCTTCATAAGTTCAAACTCTACACCCTTCTCCCCTCCCCTGAGAAGCTCCCTCAGTCTCTTCCACCCACTCCTCCCAGGTGTCAGCCTCTATGCCCCATAGTCTCACCATGTTAGAAATGCTGCGGGTGTTGGCAGGGTTCAGCATGACAATCTCAGTGGTGATGTGGCCCTCTACTGCCTCGGTCATCTCATCCACTGTGCAATTGATTGACGGATCATAGATTTTGAACCAATTGTCAGCATACCACCCAATGAGGAACCAGACATACTTCTTCCCAAAAAGACGTTCCTTGTACACCTGCACACAAAGAAGGCGGCTGGGGTACAGTTTAGGGCTTTTTTTTTTGGTGGGGAGGGGCTTTTGTTTTTTGTATTATCTCAATGGTAGCTATTCAGTCTCTTAGAAATCACAGAAGAGCAACAGAATAAGTAAAAGAAATGTACACGTCTTAAGGCTGGGGCATGTCTCAGTGGTAGAGTGCTTATTTAGTAATCCACAAGTCTTAACAGTGATAGGAAAGTCTCAAGTTCCAAGTTCTTCCCCAGACCCTCTATTTCTGAGTAGCCTTTCCAGTCAGTCAGAAGAGATGGCATTCATGGACTACTCAGGGAATTTTTTTTAAAAAGGGAGGAAAATTCATGTGTGCAGGGAGTGTGTGGTGTGTGCAATTTGTGTGTGTGTGGAGAAGGGATAAAGTCAGAGCCAACAGATAGAGACATCATATTAATCATCACCTCAGATCATTTGCTATTAATTTCAGCAAAGATGCAGTGAGGAGACTCTGGGAAAACACCAAGGCAAGAAGCCCACCCAGTCCCCCTCCCTCTTCAGATTCCAACTTCACCTCACAAAAAACTTTCCGGGCTTCGGTCTCATAAAAAAGTCCCACGATGATTCGGGCATCTTGGCGCTATAAAATGGAGACAGAGACAGAGCTCCTGAGGGACACCTAGGAGCGCCTGAGGGGCTAAGCCAGGCGCTTTCACAGCTTTGATTTCCCATCCCAGAGTGCTTAGTGCAGAGTAATGTTCAATGGGCAGTGGATAAATGTCAGCTGGAAGATAGAGCTAAATCTCCCCAGGAGACACTGCTGCCTCACAGAATCAGTCAGTCCCCGCCTGACTCTCCTTTCCAGGAGACCTTGGTTCTCCAACCCAGCCCCTCCACAGGCCTAGCCCACCACTCCTGGCCAACCCACCTTCAGGTTTTTGACAGGCACGGCTGGATCTGAGAAGAAGCTCTGGCGGAAAGTTATCTCAATTCCAGCCTCCTTCACTCTTTCCTCTAGGTCATCCAGAGTCTTGGGTAGGAACGAGAAATGAATAAGAAAAACATGGGGCGTGCGATGGGGTAAAGCAGAGATGTTAACTGCCTTAACTGGGGACTGAAATCTCAAGAGTGACAGAGCAGTGTTCTGAACCTTCCTCCAACCTCTCTGTCCCCAAAGCTAGAAGAGTTCAAAGGAAAGCATCTGCAGTCTTAGAAGGTGGCTTCCCAAGTGGAACGGCACATAATGAGCCCTTCCTCAGGTCTGTGTCTGAAGGAAGCCACTCCACTGACCTCACTCCTACCACTCACCCTACTTCTACCCCTAAGGGGAAAACAGAAGAACCCAAAAAAGACCCAGAGGCAGGTAAGCAGACAGACTAAAGGATCAGAGAACAGCCTGAGTCACTGAGAAAAAGTGAGGAAGGAGGATTAAAGGGACACTGAACATTCGAGTGGGTGGAGGACCCAAAGAATACAATAGAGGGGAGGGAGCACACTGCTTTCTTTGGATGTAGAGCCTTGTATTTCTTCTCAATTTCCACAGATTTCCTGAGGCTCCTTCAACCTCTATGTCTATGGGCATTTCTCTCCCAGTGTTAACTACCAGACCTATGTCTCTTGTCTGTCTGCATCTACCTCTCGCTGTGTGCCCCATCCCCCTCCCAACCAGTAGCTCCACCTCTCTGTCCCCATTCTCACACACACCCAGTGTCTTTAGAATCTACTACATTCCTGGGTTCCTATTTTATATTCCTTCTCTCCTCTTGACTCAATTTGGGATTGAACCTACTTTAACAGAACTGAATGTCATTTTGAGCCTATCTGTCTGGGGAATACAGCATCAAAAGGAAAAAGAATTATAATATCAAAAAGATGGAGAGGATCCCAAAAACTCAACTCACTCATTCCCTTAGCTACGGAAAGTACATGCACTTAACCCACTTGGAATGGGTTCTCTTTCAATAAAGAACCAAGATCTTCCCCCACAACGAATGCTATGTCACATCTCTCTCCATTGACTTTGAGTCGATGCCCCCTTTTACTTTCTCCCTCGTCCCTCCTCACCGAAGTGAAGACCTCCGTGGTCTGCTGAATGGTGGCAATCTTCTTCCAGCCCCACTTTTCAAAAAGTTTCACTCGGGTAGGATTGTGGAGAGTGGCTGATGGATGTGTTCGGAAGAATGTGGGGAAACGCTGCCGATTTGACAGGGCTGGTGAACTGGAGCCATAGGAAAGCTAAGGGGACAAGGAGAATGGACTCCACTGAGGGCTACTAAGAATTCCTTTGATCCCTTCTTTGCCTCTAGAGTTTTCTCCTCCACTCTCTCCAAACCTCCTCACTTTTGTCCTAGGAAAAGTGATTCTCAAAGACCCACACACTCCTCACAATTAGGATGCTCCTTCACTCATCTAATACCCAGTTCCTTCTGATGAAGACTGAGATCAGCTTAAGTATGGTTAAGCACTGCTGCTGGGAGGCCAACCAGCTCAGGTCTGAAGAGGGTTCTGGATCCTGGAAGTAGGTCCCTCCCTCAATCCTCTTAAAACCCAAACCTACAATCCTCCCTTAGTACAGCCCAAAAGGAAACCACCCCCATACCCCTTCTGACCCCCATACCCTTGCTTACCACAATAAGGTTCCACATCCTGGCAGCCTCAGCCACAAGCGTGGAGACAGAGCTGCAGCCGGGCATGAGGATGATCTTGATGGGATCATTGTAGAGCAGTTCATACAAGTACTTGGTGGCTTGGCCTGGGTCACACTGAGTGAGGAAGGAAGGGTTGGGGAGCCCCTCAGGGCTCTTAACCTTCTATTTCAACTGTCTTATCTTTCTTGGACAACCTAGTTCCTTCTTCAATTACCCACTTTCATCACTATTACCATATTCTTCTCCCTGACATCTCTTCTTGTCAAGTTTCTTGCTTCTCCTCTTTCAATTACCTCTATTCTCTGTCTTCCATCTGGCACTGAATCCCTCTCCTCTCCTGCATACCCCTATATCAGTATTCATGGATATGTTTCTTTTCTCCTTTAGTTCATCCGCTGACATCCCCAAGTCCACCTCTCCTGTCACCCCTGCCCTTCACCCCATGTTTTTATGTTCCAAACATCTCTGAGAAGAAAAGTCTGCAGAAACACAAATTCTCTCCAGGTTCCCAGACAGCTTCCTCAAAAATCATATTATGAAATTTCTTCCTTCACCTCTAAGAACTCCCTCTTTTCTCCTTCATTTTTTTTCCTCCCTCTTTTCAGGGCTAGTGATGAGTAAACAAGAGAGAACAGGAACAAGACCAGTAGGGGGTCTGCTCAGCTCACCCATCCCCTCCTGCTAGGCCCTGACAATTGACAGGTCCATTAGGAAAAACAAAAAAAAAACAAAAACAAACAACACTCAAGAGTGGAAGTAGGAAAGAATCTAAGATGAGGAAAGAACAGGGAGAATAAACAGAATGGGGCTCTCAAGAATAAATGATTTCAGGGGTGTCTAAAAGAGAGGCATGGCACTGTGTAAAGTAAGTAATGCAGAAAGCTAGAGAGGAAAGGGAGGCTGGGAGGAGTGGCAATGGCGGGGAGGGAGAGACAGTCATGGGTCTCCCACTGCCTATTCCCCTCCTGCTGAAATGTGACATTTCAGAAGCTGCAGGAGACCCAAAGGAAGTGGAGAATAAATGGCAGCCAGTGGGGAGCCTGGGAAGAGGGGAAACAGACAGGAGACACAGGCAACTGGGGAGGGTGAAGGGGGGGGGGGGTACAAGTAGAAAGGAAATAAAGAAAGCTCCCTAGAGCCTGCTCACTCCCCACTGAGGCCTGACATTTGGGACACAGTGGGAAGTTAGAGTCCAGAGAGCCAGGGGAGCCAGGGGAAGCTGGTGGAAGCTAGAGAACACTGAGCCCTGATGCCCACCCCACCTTCACCCCCTGCTCAGGGTATTGCTCAACGGCTTTGAAGACTTTCTCTTCATGTCTCCCATTTGGGCATCTCAATATATCTTTACTATTCTGGGGTCCAAACATCCTGAATTTTCTCAGCATCTATTATTCCAGATCTTGCCCCCAGCTTCTCCAAAGCCTCCTCAGTGCCCCTCTACTTCCTGTCTAAAGAAATGGTTAATAAGAACATGTGGACATCATGGCAGATCCCCTTTCCATGAAGTTCTCCCTCTTCCTATTGCTCTTGCAAGGATCTGGACTTGCAGGCAGAAAAGAGGCACATTCTAGTGGACACATTCCAGTTTCTGCCTTCTCATCCCCTCCTTGTATGCCTCTGCTAACTTCTCTAGTTGCCTTCTCCTGGGTCCCCCAGCTGCTCCCCAACACTTCAGGGAATCACCTATCATGGTGGGTAAATTCAAGCTCACAGACGGGCCTCCCCTACTTCCTTGTGATGCCCCCTCATAAAGCCTGCCCCCATCTCTCCCAATCTTTTTCCCCCACACTCATACCCCTGCCCCTGACCAAAAACTCTCAAAGTCTCCCAAGTCTGACCCCTCAGATAGATGTGACCCTCTATTTTTCTTCATGCCTTCCCTACCCTAATACCTAATTCTTTTCCTGAACCCTGCTGCTCTTTCCATAGGCATCCTAGTGTTAGCTACAACTCAAGCAGAATTTCTGTTGGTAAAAGTGTAGATAATTCTTGGGATTCCTCCCTGACCCAGGAGTTAGCATCTGTATTTTTAACAATCCCTCTGGTGATTCTTATGTATACTGACATTTGAGAAATACAGAGAAGGTAACAGTCCAAAAGGATTTTAAGCTCTGTCTCCAAATGCCTACCAATCCTTATGCTCTCCTCTCCCCAAGCACCCTGCCTGCAGCCCCACTTCTATCCCCTTTCCTTTTCCCCCACTTACTTTAGATATATATTGATGTTCTAGAGAATGGATATAAATCCTCAGCACACTCCAAGTGTAAAATCCCCAAATCTTCACCCACTGTACCCTACCTCCCTAACCTAGTCCCTTAAATCTCTGGAGCCACATGTCAGAGAAATTTAGGGGGATCCCAAATTTCCTTCCTTCTCTGTGTCATACCTTCTCCATTACCCAATTATTCATGTAGGGGAGTGGGAAGGTAAAGAAATCTTATCAGAGATCATCCCTAACACCCCTAGACCCAAATTTCCTTCCTTTCCCCTCTTCCTTCTCTCTCCTCTCTAACCCTACATCTCACATCTAAAGGCCATAATGCTAAAAGAGAAGATAAAATCAGGACCCCCAAGCTCCACAAGATGCCCCAGGATTCCTCACTATCCCCATCCTGCCTCTTTGCCCCCCTCCCCCACTCCTTTCTTTTCTGTTCTTTCCTCTCTCTGTATTAGGGATTCCTGTCCATCACCATGTTACGGTGGGGGCTCTTCATGTGGACCCCTAATCCAATTTATCCTCCAGTGTCTCTGTCCACCTCTAAACCATTATCCTTCCCCAACAGCTATAAGCCATACATTCTCACAGTCCAGGAATCTTCAACAGGACTGGGGATGGAGGGATAAGGAGTCAGGTAGGGCTAGAAGCTACCTTCCTGTTTGTTTTGATAAATAAACTAGAGCTCTCAAGTCCCTCAAAATTTTCTCATTCTCTCCCTATTCCTTCCATCCTTAACATACACCACACTTACCTTGTTACCATGGTAAATGTAAACCCCTGATACAGCTCCCCACCTCTGACATTCCCTCCTGCCCCCAACCCAGTCCTGGGTTAGTTTACTCCCTCAGAAGGCCAGTATTAGCTAGGACCCTAAACCCATCACCAGTTTTCTCAACACCCCTGCACTTCCATGAGTCTCTCACTGCAGGGCAAAGGGTTTGCCTTACAGCGTGATTAACCATGATTAACCATCTTGAACCCCCAGACCCTCATCTTGAACCTCCAGCCCCTGCTATTCTCCCCAAGCTCCTGCACTTCCAGTCCGTCTCCTGCTAGTCACACAAGGGAGGGGTTTGCCTCGCAATCTCAAAGCGACTCAGACTCAGGCGCTAACACAGCTGGCCCCTTGCCCCCCCTAAGCCCCCACCTCTCACCCACTCCCTTGTCGGGTGCTACCTTGCTGTCGTGGTGGATGAGCTTGAGTTCATAGTCCGGCAGGATGTCCCTGCGGCTATTCACGTCCTCCAGCGCCATCTCCACCGCGGGCTGGCAGGCCTGGCCCCCTGGCCAGCCCCCGCTCATGGGAAACAGCGCCCCGATGTACACTGCGCGTCGTTCTGAGGAGGGGTGCGGGGGGACCCTCGGGTGAGGCCGTGGGAGATGAGGGGAGTGAGAGGCCCACACTGGAGCCACCCCAGCTGCCATCACCACCAGGAGAGGCAGTAGCCACCCCACTCGGGAAGAGGGGGCCCCGGGACCCATGGCAGGGAGGGGGCGGGGGTGGCAGCTTGGGGAGCTGGGAGCTCAGGGGGGACACTTTTTCTGGGGAGGGCTGCTGAGGGGGTGTCGGGCAGGCACCTCCATCCCCGGTTTTGTGGGGAGGAGGGGGCTAGGGCCCCCCGGGAAGCAGGGAAGGTGGGCTTCCTACTAGCGCCACCGCTACCGCCACCGCGGACTCTCCTCGCGGACTGACTGACCGAGGGAGGGGAGGAGGAGGGAGATGTGGGGCTGGGAGGGGGCTCTGACGTCACGAGCGAGCGGCACGGCAGTGTGGGGGGGGGGGCGGGGGGGGGGGGGGGAGGAAGGGGGCAGGGATGAAAGCAAGCTCGAGGTGGGAACCACAGCCAGAAAGGAGGGGAGGGTTAGGGAAAGAGGGTGCAACCTCTCGAGGTATAGGGATGGATGGAGGAAAGGAAGAGGTTCACCCACCCAAGGGGATATTAGTGGGAGGAGAAAAGAGGAGATGGAGCGTGCCAGGAGGGCAGGGTGGGCGGAGGGAGCAACGCGAGAGGCTGAAGCAGCGAGAGAGGGATGGGGAAGGGAAGGAGAATGGGACAGGACAGAAAAGGGGCTGGCGTCCGAGATCTGAAAGGAGATATGAACTGAGGGTGCTGAGAGAGGGATAGAGGTGGGAAGAGTTTTGGAAGAGAGAAATGGGTTAGGAAGGGAAGACTGGTATAGAGGGCAGTGTTGGGGATAGAGGAAGGGAACATGGGGCAGGTAGATGAGAAAGGGTGATGGGAGACAGAACTGAGAATAAAGAGGAGTATAGGAAGGAAAGAATTGGGGGAAGCGTGAGAGGCCCTGGCCAGGGTTGGAGGTGGGTGAAATGGGCTGATGGAGTCCATCAGGTGAAATCCTAAAAAGGGGGCAAGCAGGAAAAGGTTCCAGAGAAGGTCGGAAGGAACCCCATGGGGAAGACGAGGTGGAAACTCAGGTTCGCAGCACGCTGCCGCCCCCTGCCGGGGCTCTGCCATTTGGCCAAGAAGCAGAATCTGGGAGGAGGTGGAGCCCAGGGAAGTGCAGCCAAGCAAGGAGATGGGAGGGACCGCGGAAAACCGGGACTGGAGGCAGGAAACAGGTAGGGAAAGAAGGGGACGGGTCGCAAACGGGTGGGTGGGGGGAGGTGGGTGAAGGAGGACATCCATAGCCTAGGGGCAGAACTCCTGCGGGTGGAAGGTGAAGACTTAAGGGTAAAGGGATTGCTGTGCACGCGATTAGGGTTTCTGATCTCACCTGAGTGTGGCGTTCGATTCACTGGCAGCAGGAAAGACCGGGATCAGAGAAGAGTTACCACTGGCGCCCAGCTTCCCAGGCCTGATCCCCAGCCCCCTCCCACACCTCTCCATGCCGAAGACGGGGGAGGGCAGAAGCCTGCGATTCTGAGGGGAGGGTGCCTGGGGATAAGAGCAAGGTGGGGCTGGGGGTCAGGACTTGTTGGTTTTCTTCCTTTATTTTTCATAGGACATAGAAATTGAGACAGGAGGAGCAACAGTTAAGGTAGGGACAGATTCTGGTTTTGTAGAGCCTGAATATTACAAAGTATAAGGGTCTCTGAGAAAAAAATTACAATGGATTTTAAGCAATTACTGTTAAAATACCTAGTTTTTGCAATTTTGACAAAAGTGAAGTAGCATGTGAACACATTCTTAAAGCCCACAACATTATTAGAGCACAGGAAAAGGGCCTGGTAAGTGAGGAACCCTGAAGCTTAAGCTTTGTTAGCTTAAAAGTAAATCCACCCCTGGATAGGACAGCCATTTCCGGGATGGAATGGTAAACTAGAAGTGGAATAACTTGAGTTAATTGAAGAAAGACAAGGCCAAGGATCTTGAAATAGTCTACAGAGTAGCAGAAGCATGAGGCATAGGAATAGATGCCTACATTCTAGAAGAGAAGACTGCAGAAGGAGAGTTTGAGTGCCCAGAAAAAGGAGAAGTTTGCAGAACTAGATGGCAAAAAAGGTGGTAAACACAAAAATTATTCCCTCAGGGAATGCTGGAAATTGTCTAGGAGGGACAGAAAAGGACTATAGTCTTCCCATTCCATCTCTGAGTTGTCAATGTTCTGATAATTCTGCACCCAATTTTAAATCATTTTACCCTGATATATTTCCACTCTTGGATCTCCTCTTGCCAATTTTTCTACATTGTGCATGACTTTATATTTACAAAAATTCAATTAAAGAATGAATGGTGACGAGTCAATTCTAGAAGAGGGTGATGCATACAAAGTTCTAAATTTAGAGAAAGCGAATGGATCTAGGGAAACTTGGAGTATTTAAACCTTGTGAAGGTAAGGGAAGGTTCGATTCATAAAGGAAAAAAGAAAATGTAAGTCCCAAGAACTGGAAGCAGGGACTTTACAGAAAGAGGAAAGCAAAGAAAGGACATCCCCCAACATAGGGAAATTGAATACTGGGGATAGCAGAAGTTTGAGGCAAGTGGATGGTGGAAAAAATTGGACTTTCATTTTTGCCTTCCCAAGGCCCTCCTCCAAGTTCTTCATAGGACCCCATCCTTTCCCACCATCTATTCCCACTCCACCCCGCTCCCTTTCTTGCACAAGCATCCTCATCAGCTGCATGCAGGCAGCTATTCCCCTCACCCTGGCAGTGGGGCTTGGGGGTGCTCCACTGGCCCTGACTACAGATGCTCCGGGAGCTGCCCACCAGATGGAAGTCGGGGTCACACCGGAAATCCACCCGGGCTCCGTCCAGAGCTGGGAGGTCCCCACCCGTCAGGAAAACTTTCCCATTTTCCAGGGTCAAATAAGACTTGGAGCAGATTCGGACTGTGGAGAGATAGGAAAATGAGAAGAGATGCAAGTTGGAGAAGGCTTTTTTCCCTTAACAGAGAGCAGGGGGCTTGGGTTTGATCCCACAGTATCTTACTCTACAGAAAATAAGCTGTGAAAAGGATTAGCATCCCTACCTTCTACTCCCCCCTTAACCCTGAAAGCATCCACACATTCTCAAAAGAAAACAAGAAAAAGTATTTCCATTGTAGGAACCCAAGATGGAGCTATAAGCACACAAAATGGGATCTCTCCACAATCCACTATAGTGGGCGGTTCTCTATCTTTGAAATGTGTGGATAACTTTGAATGCACAATCAGATTTGCTTTTCTTAATATAGTTGGTTAATATTAAATTGTCTTTTGTTCCCTGGGCATATAGTCATTGGAATGGACAGGTGTTGGGCAATGTATTGAAATCATTTTAGCATTTTTTTGGCATAATCTGCTACTAAAAATCCTTAAAGAGAATAGCATAAGACAAAAAAATCAAAGTTATTTCATCCAATGATCACTGGCCTAAGGAAAGGATGAAATGAAATGTGCAAGCTGCGTGCTTTGCCACCTCTAACTACCCAGCAACATCTTACATAGTAGTTGTTCATTAAATGTATTTGTAAATTTGGTTAAGCTGACTTGGAAACAGTAATGCTAAACCTAAGGCAGGAAAAGTAATTAATGGTCTTGAGAAGGGGTGGGGCTTCCCAAGGCTACTCACCACAGCGGCTGGGTGTGTCCATATCTGTCCAGGAGCCGTTGGCCAGGCACTTGCGCACCTTGGGCCCCACCACCTCGCGCTCCCCCCGGCACACATACTCAATCTCATAGTCCACCGGCAGGAAGTTGATAGCCTTCACCTGGTCCCGAGTCAGGCCCCGGTACCTGATGCCCCCTTCCCACGGAGGGTGTATGATCTGGCAACCTGAAGGGTGAGTTGGGGAGGCAATACTGAGAGGAATGGTGGGAAAGAGGAAAAGCCCAACTTCTGCTGGGGAGGCAGGGGAAAGCAGGGTGTGGTCAGTGGACTGGCTGGGAACTAGGGGGAGGTTAGGGACTAGGCAGCAGATGAGAGTGCAGATACAGAACCCTGAGCTAAAGGACAGTGAGTAATGGGCTAAGTTAAAGCTGACGACAGAGCCCACCAGTTGGGAGGGAATAGTGCTGGTTGGGGGTAATGGAGAAAAGCAATTAAGAAATCGTAAAGGATATGAAATATGGCCGGAGCTTGGTTTAAAAAACGGGGGCTAAACGAGGATATTTGATTTAAATTAAAAAAGAGGGGGACCTTACAAGACCATCTAAGTAATAAAGTGGGGCCAATGTGGGAAAGGGCAGTGGGTCTGAGAAAATGATTCGGAGTCACAGAAAGGTGGTATAGCCTAGTAATGTGGGGCAGAGAAAGGGGGTGCTAAGTAGTAATGTGGGGTGATAGAAAGGAGGTCAGGAGTAGTATAGTGGCGCGGAGTAAGGGTTGGCTATCAGGATGCTCTACAGGGCTGAGGGAATAGTGATGAGGAGCAGAAAGGAGGAGGTGAAGGGAAAGGGGAAGTAGGGTCGGATGAGGGCCCGAATCACCGAAGGGTGCACCTTCTGAGGTGGCGTTGGGGGTCTGCGCCCCGCCAGCGCCCAGGGGGCGGAGGAAGAGAGGCGCCAACAGCAGCAGCAGCAGCAGCAGCAGCATCTAAGTGAGAGGCGACCGTGAGGACCGGACCGAGCCTCGCCGGAGCGGCCCTGCCCGACCCGACCTGGCCCGGCCCGGCCCGGGGAGGCGACCTGGCCTCCCTCCGGAAGCCTTACGAGCTCAGACCCCGCTCAGTTTAAGGACGAGGAGAGCGCCCCGCGGAGGAGGCGGGGGCGGAGCCCCGCACAGGGTGGGGGGAGAGGAGGAGAGAAAGCCTGTCCCCACCCTCCTCCTGCCTCCCTCGGCCCCCCACCCTCCCGGGACTCCACCTCTCACCACCTCCTCTCCCCCGGCCCCCGCGGCTCCCTGGAGCCCGGCTTACCCACGCTCCCGGGTTCGGCCGCCTTATCACTCCCCGTCTCCATCCCCGCAGTTCCTCTCCCCCAGCCCGGATCCCCACCTCGGCCCTGCGCCCGCCGGCCCTCCCCCGCGCGCCCCTCTCCAAGCCCTGCTTCCCCGGGGCCCTGGCTCTTACCTCGGCGCGCCGGCCCAGCTCCCCGGCTCTCCCCGGGCCTCAAGGCCCCAGGCCCGGCCGCTCCTCCCCGCTCCCCCCTCCTTTCTCCTCCACCTTTCCCCTCCTCCTGTCCCTCCTCCCCTCGAATCCGGGCTTCAGCCCAGCCAGGGTCTCTCCCCTCCTCTCTCGCTTCCCCCAAACCCCACCCCCGTCTCTCCTTCCCCGGGGCGGCGGCGGCCGCGGGAGCGCGAAGCCGGGAGGGAAGGAGGCGGCGCCGGGGACCGGGAAAGCTCTCGGGCGGAGGGAAGAAGGAGGGTGCAGGGGAAGACAGGGCGGGGGGAAGAGAGGGGGAGACCAGGGAGAGGGCGCCTCCCACAACCCAAGCCCCGGGAGCCGCCCCGGATCCCGGCCCCGCCCTGGACCGCCCACAGCGCGGGGGGAGGGAGCGGTGGCTAGGCGCGGGGCTGAGAGGTAGAAGGGGGAAACTGGTGCTCACGCGCACGGGTGGGGACAGAGCACCGCCGAGCGACCTAGGGGCGAGACTGCTGGAAACCGGGGTGGAGGTGAAACGCCCCCAATCAAAGACCAGGGGAGCTGGCGCTGAGACGGAGCTTAGGATGAAGGTGGAGAAAGACGGTTGCACAAAGAGAAGGCAACACTGGATCCTGACGAGAGGAGAGAGGGAAGAAAAAGGCCAAGGGCCAGGAGGAGAAGTGAGACCAAGGGAGAGAAAGGAAAAGCCAGGGTCAGAAAGATACCGGGGACGAAGGGGGCCGCCGGGAGCTAACTAAGCACGAAAAGAGTTGGGTGGGGGAGAGAGCTAGAAACCAGAGCGACTCCATGGTACAACAGCTCTGCTGCCACTCGCCTAGCCTGCTCCGTGGAGTGAAGGGCTGGGGCTGATTGAAGGAGGACATCAAGGAGAGAAATTGAAATACAGAAAAGCGCGGGGTAAGGAGGTCATAGGAATAGAAACCTCCAGATGGGCGGAAGCCAATATTCTTGACTCCAACAGAGCCTGGCAATCAATAATTCTTGTCTAAGGTCCAACTGGAAGCTCTAAAGATGGTAGGGAAGTGCAGGCCTTTTGACAGCTCCTGAAGGCGTGTGCAGTGTTGTTATGGTCGTGGTTGTTGATGATTATGGACCTGAATTTGGGCAGGGAAAGGAGAAGAACAAAAAAAGAAGAAAGAAAGCTTCCTGGCCAAATGCTGAGAGACTGACTAGAACCTAGAACCCTGCTCTCAACCTTCAACCCTTTTTATAAGCATTTTGTAATGACCCTCTTCCCATCATGAATTGAAATTCATAGATGGTATAACTTCCCTACATACATGACTTAAAAAAAAATCACAATGCTTCCCTAGCTGTAATATAAAGGGGGGATGAAAGAACAGTTACTTGTAATAAAATAACATAAATATTATTTTAATGTGTGAGTGCAGGGCCCAGCTTCACTACATGCAGGGGGATGCTTGCACCCATCCATAGATTCACAGAGATGTAACTGCTACCAACACAAGCTAATACAGGTGCAGAGACGGTGACTCAACTACCTCCAGCATGTTGCCATCAATGAAAAGACTTAATGAAATGTTGAGCAACTCCTGGTAGCGAAGTCAATCTTCTCTACATTCACACAGAACAGTAATTGCATTCCTAGAAAGTTCACTTATATTTAGACCAATTTTTTTAAATTGTATTAAGTTCTAGACTCAGATAATTAAACATGAGTTTTTACGTACATGAATGTCCTAGGAGACTTCTGAGAATCTGGATGAAGGACAACTCTTCATTGTGCAAACTGTGCTTTGAAGAATAGCTTATGCCCATGCCCTGCCAATAAATGACAATAGTGCCCCCCTCCACCACTGTAATTACAGAAAGGAAACCTCTGAAGTTTCAGAATGTTCTCTAGGGAGAGGTTGAGAGCCATTGAACTAGAAAAGAACAGAAGACAATGGGAAGGATTTCTAACTACTCAAAATGATAGTCACCCTCCTCTGAGTAGCCTGTCCTCTCAGCAGGACAGAACCAAATAAATATAGTTATCAACTAAGTTAAAATTATTAACACCAGGGAAAATGTCATGATGATGAGAAGTTTCCCATATTGCTTGGGGAAGTTTCCTGACTGCCCACTCTGCAGACTGGTCTGTCTGTCTGGCAGTACACTATCCCTCAGTGCTCCTGTTTGCTCAGAGTACTCACTTCCTAGACTCAGCAGGCCATTCTACAGGGGAGTACCTGAGCATGTGAACTCCCAGGAGCCACAAACCAGCTTTCAAGAGCCTTATCTAGCCAGGCATAGAGTTACACACCTATAATCCCACACTTCAGGGGTTGAAGCAGGAGGATCACAAGTTCAAGACTAGCCTGGGCAACTTAGACCTTGTCTTAAAAATAAAGGGCTGAGGATATAGCTCATATGGTAGAGTGCTTGCCTCACATGCAAAAAGCCCTGGGTTCAATCCTTAGCATCAAAAAAAGAAAATTAAAAATTAAATAAAGGGGGCTGGGGCTCAGGCTCAGAGGTAGCACACTGCCTTGCATATGTGAGGCAATGGGTTCGAATCTCACTACCGCATATAAAAATAAAATAAAGGTCTATAAACATCTAAAAAAATTAATAATAAAATAAAATAAAGAGCCAGGAATGTAGCCAGTAGAGCGTCCCTGGGTTCAAACCCCAATACCACACACACACACACACACACACACACACACACCTACCTTATCTGGTCATTCATTCTTGCAACTTGTTTCTGGCTTCCCTGAAGTCTTTCCTGGAATGAGGGATATAAAAGAAAAGACTCTTCCTTGAAAAGATAGTCCATGAAATTGAAAGTTCAGTGATATTCATTGCCATACTGCTGGTGCTAAATCAGAAAAGGAAACAACATCAATGTCCAAATCACAAACACTGACTCCATAAATTAGAATGTGCCCATTCAAATGAACAGTTTTGAAAACATGTCTGAAAGAGTATCAAATGATGTTGATATGGGAAAGTGTGAGAATTTGGGGGAGGGGAGATAAGATATGGGATATGTACAACTATGGTAAATACAGATGTTAAAAAGCTATAAGAAATGCAGAATGTCTTCTTTGATATAAGGGGGGCAACCCAAAACAGAGCAGGGAGGAAGAGCATGAGAAGAAGATTACCACTAAATAGGGATGAGAGGTGCGTGGAAATGGGAGAGAGAAGGGGAATTGCACAGAAGATAGTAGGAGACCCTCATTGTTATGCAAAATTACATATAAGATGGTGTAAGGGGGAGGGGGGGATAGAAGGGCAGCACAATACAATAGACACTAGTATGGCCCTATGTATAAACGTGGCTGTATAACCAATGTGATCCTGCGATCTGTACACGCAGAAAAATAAGATTAAGATTACGTACCCCATTTGAATCAAATGTATGATATGTCAAGATCATTGTAATATTTTGAGCAACTAATAAAAAAAATTTTAAAAAAGCTAGAAGAAAATAGATCATTGCCCCTGGGTTATGAATTATTGTATAACTTTTTTGTTCAACATTTGTTCAAAATTTTCACAAGTGTGAAAATTACAAATCATTTTTAGAATTTATTTTTAAAAACCTTCCCATGCAAGTTGAATCAATGTAACCAAAATCTATTATTCACTGGGACAGAGGCATCTGAGACTGTAGACAGGGGCTCCAATTATGCTCACAGTACAAACTGCTCACCCTTTAAATCCACCAGTAGCTTTAATTTTCTCCTTTCACACTTCTTCATTTTCCAATGTCACTTTCAGGATTCCTGGTCCTATTTCTTAGGACATTTATTGAGGTCCTCCTTACCATCACCACCACCACCCTACTTCAGTATCCTGACTCTACCCTCCCCAGAGCCAATTTGTTTTTGTTGGGGGGAGGGGATGATATGGTGCTAGAGATGGAACCCAGGACCTCTCACAGCTAGGCAAGTGCTCTTCCACTGAGTTATACCTCCAGCCCTCCACTTCCTTCTTTTCCTTCACATCAAACAAAACTTTTCTCCTCTAGAAAGTACCCTGGGCTTGATCCTATCCTCCTCTCAAAACTTTGTGCATTTGGCAATGCCATCTGCTTTTAGAGTTTTACTGTGGTGTATGGAAATGGTGGAGCTCCTATTCAGATTGCTTGAGAATGGCTAATCTTGTTCATTTTATTTCCCATACTTTCCTTCTTCCTCTTTTCTGCCTAATCTTCTGCCTACCCCTGAGAGCCTATAGCCCAGAAATTAATATTGCAGAGCCCTGAAAATATATTAATCAAAGTAGTTCAACTTATTGATGATCAGCTAGATGCTAGGTACTCTTCAGGGAACATCTAATTTAATTCTCACACAAAGTAGATATTCATGTACTTAATTTGGAGCTAAGTAAACTATGATTTAGAGGAAAAAAGCAAGTCAGAAGTCACACAACTATAAAGTTAACAGAGTCAATACCTTATCTCAAGTCTGTTAGTCTATTTCTAAATTCTTTGCACTGAATTCAGAGATTTGATTTTAAGACTCTCACCAGTACCCAC